GCTTTCTTTTCACAGCCAAATGGTTCTGAATCAGCAAAAGACTATACCTGACTTTGTGAACATACATTTCTGTGGTTGAGTCAGGAGTACTTATGACCCAGATGTAGAATAGAATTGGAAAAAAAGATGCTATCAGGCTGGTACTTGGATACTCTGCTTAACTTTGGCTTTAGTCCTTATCTTAGTATACTTAGTAGTGTCACCAGTAAAAACATTGGGCTTTTTGAGAATTACATTTGACAAGCTGGTCTTTGCAGATGTTGGCTTACTGTGGTTGAGTAAGCTTAAGATCGTAGTTGAGCCGTTGGAAGTAGAAAAGTCAAGGGTAACTCTTACTGTTACCTTCTTACTGTCTTCTGGCCCTCATTACTAGTCCAAGCTCCAGGGTCCCCTGCCTCCTGCCACGGTTTTGTCTGCTGTGGTATCGCTAAGGGCTCAGGTTCCTTAAGCACCTTCCCCAAAAGTTACTTTCTTGACCTTACCTTCGCCTAGTCAAAGGTATTATTCCTCAACTGCTGCTGCTTATGTTTCAGAAGAAATCATGTTTGTGGAATACCATTCTGTTCCATCCCATCATTCTCTCCTGTTTTGCCATTTTTTAAAGTTATCTGCAGTCTACTTCCATTTCTTTATTTAATGCTTGTGCTCTTGCTTCCACTCACACCACTCTTGTATGGAAACTGTATTCCACAAAGATACGTGTGTGTGTATGAGACTCTTTCAATAAATCATTAAAAATAATTATTTAAAAATCATATTTTTTAAATATGCCCTGGCTGGTGTAGCTCAGTGGATTGAGCACAGGCCTGCAAACCATACAATCGAGGTTGGATTCCCAGTCAGGGCACATGCCTGGGTTGCAGACCAGTTCCCTGCAGGCCAGTTCCCAGCAGGGGACGCATGAAAGGCAACCATACATTGATGTTTCTCTCCCTCTCTCCTTCCCTTCCCCTCTAAAGATAAATAAATAAAATATTTTTTTAAAAAAATCATATTTTGTATTTGCTTCTTTCACCTGTAACTTTTACATTTCTGTGGGTATTTTCATATTTATATACAATTGCATATTTCTTTTTATATTTGTATTATTATACTTACGGCTTTCTTTAAAATTTTTTAATGAAATATATGTTAAGGACATTATAAACTTACTTATACACTATAAGGCACGATAATAAAATGACCACCCGTGATCACCTGTCAGCGTACTACCCAGCTTGGGAAACAGACCCTTCCTGATACTGCTGATGCTTCTTGTGTAGGCCTCTGATGACATCCTCTGCCTCCCCAGAATTTTATGTTTATTATTTTTTGTTTTTCTTTTTAGGTTTACCTCATTTGTACTTTTAAGCAATATATTATTCAGTGTAGTTTGTTTTTGAACTTCATACACATGGTGTCATGTAGTCTGCATTCCTTTTTCATCCAGCATTGGGAGGATGGGCAGGAGGTGAGGAGGGGGTGGGTGTGAGCGGGTAGGTTACGTATATTCTTTGGCTGAACTCTTTATCCTAGGAGGTGAGGGAGCATGTGTTATCTTTCTGTCTGTAACATGTAACATACTGGATTTTTTTTGCAAGGTAAGATACTCAAATGATGCTGTTGTCTCTAAAAGTATGGGAGTATGAGGAAATCCAAGCGATCCCTATCATACTCTTTCTTTAAGAGATGCTCTTAGCTGTTTTGGTGATGAGTTGTTGATAAATTAGATACCTAACAGAGAAGGACATGTTTAATGTTAATTAATCCCTTGTCAGTGATGTTGTAGGCCAAAGGCTTTTTCCCCTGTCATTATTGCTTTAGACACAGAACACAAAATGGAGGGAAAGTGTAGAAAATGTTTACATATGAGCTCATTATTTTTGTTTTGTTTTAATTTTTATTTTATTTATTTTTTAATTTTATTGATTATGCCATTACAGTTGTTCTATTCTCCCCCTTCATTCCCCTCCACCCTGCACCCCCCACCCCTACCATTCCCCCCCTTTAGTTTATGACCATGTGTCTCAAGTTCTTTGGATTCTATATTTCCCATACTATTCTTGCCCTCCCCCCATCTATTTTCTACCTACCATCTATGCTACTTATTTTCTGTACCTTCTTCCCCCTTCTCCTCCCACTCCCCTGTTGCTAACCCTCCATGAGATCTTCATTTCTATGGTTCCGCTCCTGATCTAGCTGTCCTTTTAGCTTGCTTTTATTTTAAATGTGGTTGTTAATAACTCTGCGTTTGCTGTCCTTTCACTGTTAATATTTTTTATCTTCTTTTTCTTAGGTAAGTCCCTTTAACATTTCATATAATAAGGGCTTGGTGGTGATGAACTCCTTGAATTTGATCTTATCTGAGAAGCACTTTATCTGCCCTTCCATTCTAAATGAAAGTTTTGCTGGATAGAGCAATCTTGGTTGTAGGTCTTTGGATTTCATGATTTGGAATACCTCTTTCTAGCCCCTTCTTGCCTGTAAGGTCTCTTTTGAGAAATCAGCTGAGAGTCTGATGGGAACTCCTTTGTAGATGACTGTCCCCTTAGCTCTTGCTGCTTCTAGGATTCTCTCTTTCATTTTAATCTTGGCTAATGTAATTATGATGTGCTTTGGTGTGTTTCTACTTGGGTCCAACTTCTTTGGGACTCTCTGAGCTTCCTGGATTTCCTGGAAGTCTATTGCCTTTGCCAGATTGGGGAAGTTCTCCTTTATTATTTGTTCAAATAAGTTTTCCACTGGTGGCTGTTCCTTTCCCCCTCTGGTACCCCTATAATTCGGATGTTGGAGCGTTTAAAGATGTCCTGGAGGTTCCTAAGTTTCTCCTCATTTTTTTGAATTCTTGTTTCTTCATTCTTTTCTGGTTGGTCATTTTTATCCTCCTTCTGGTCCACTCCATTGATTTGAGTCCCAGTTTCCTTTCCATCACTATTGGTTTCCTGTGCATTTCCCTTCATTTCAATTAGTTTAGCCTTCATATGTTTCTCTAATTTGTGACTAAAATCAACCAGTTCTGTGAGCATCCTGATCACCAGTGTTTTGAACTGTGCATCTGAAAGTTTTGCTATTTCTTTGTCACTTAGATTTATGGGCTCTGGGGCTTTGAGATCTTCTGGAGCCATTTTTGGTCTGTTCGCGCCCATTGAGTATGAGGAGTGGAGCCCTAGGGGTGGGGCGGGGCCTCCAGGGTGGGGTCGCTGGGTTGTGATGCTGTATGTGGTGGTGGGGTCAGAGTGGGGAAATGGCGACCCCCTCTCCTGCTTCCCGCCACTGGGTGAGGAGTGAAGCCTATGGTGTTCACCAGGGCAGGGTCGCTCAGGTCGCTGGGTTGTGACGCTGTATGTGGGGGTGGGGTCAGAGCTGAGAAATGGCGGCCGTCTCTGCTGCCTCCCATCGCAGGGACCCACTCGGTCCCATCTCACTGCCAGCTCCCTCACTGGTCTATCTGTGCAGGAATGCACCAGCATAGTCAACCCTCCACGCTTCACCCTCGCCGGATCTGCCGGTTGCTCACTGGGTCGGCCCTTTGCAACCCCACGCCTGAGGTCCTCGTGCCTGAGTCCGTCTGACCGAGTTTTCCTGTGTAACCCTGCTCCGTCGGCTGCTGGTTTCGCCCCTCTTACCAGTCAGGCTGAAGAATTCATTGTTATCAGACTTCCAAAAAGTTCAATTTTCTGTGTTCTGGCTGTGTTTTCTGTTGCTAGTATTTTGTTGTCTCTAAACTTGGTTGTGTGAGAAAGTACGGTGTCTCCACCTATGCCTCCATCTTGGCGGAAGTCCAAGAGCTCATTATTTTTAAATGCATAGATCTGATGCTACTCATTAAAGTATTTGGTTAAATGTGTGTTTATAGATAAATGGAGTGAACAATTGGGAAGAAATGAGAATTATAAAAACATGACTTGCAGAGAAAAATAGCTAGGTTTGCTGACTAAAAGTCAGTGGATTAAAGGCACAGGGTTGGAAAGGGTGAGTCTCAAGAAATCAGAAAGTTTTACTGTTATAAAATATGACTAGAATCAAGCAGATTGGGATGCTTTTGAAGTTTCACATAAGTGAACAGAAACCTTTCCCCCCTAAAGTTACATATTACTCAGCTTTTAGAATTAGATGTTCATTGATAATCTGCTTATCTCATAATAGGTGAACCGATAGCATCAAAGGCATTGAGACAGTGGAAATCAGTGACAGAAAAAAGTCATAATCTTTAAACATATTAAAGTGGATATTTATTCAAACTGTAATTAGTTCTTCACAACTAAAGACCTCATATATATTTAATTGGATCCCTGAAGTTTTCATGTGGTGACAGTTATGATCTTATACCGAGACCCCCCATTCAGTGCACTCCCTTGCTCTGCCCCGTCTGAGCATGATCTCTGCACATTACACACACACACAACGTAATGAGTATACAGCTGTCCCCTTGTTTTCATGTTGTTTACTACCTCCTCCAGCCCCCTAGTCAGAATTCACCAAAGCAGATGAGGAAATGAAAAATGTCATGCAACGTCAATGACCTTTACAGGGTAAACCAGAGTACTTCATTGTATTCTGCCAGAAACATGTTCAGATGTCCTTGGCTACATACAGAGTGGCCCCGCCAACCTATTACCACCCCCCCATTGCTTGTTTCCTTTTATAAATTGATATGAATGAGAAAGAGAAATATTTCTGAATGAAACTTCCTTCTAATTGTGATCTATATACATTAATGTCAGTTTAACAAAAGAAAAAACATAAAAGCTCTTATTATTATTGATTATTATTAGTTCCTTTGACAGAAACAATCCCTGATACTTAAGGTAAAATGATTCATTTAGTTAATGAAAATTTGGGGAAAAATGAAATTGTTTATTGATAACCCTGTATATCTTAAACTCCCAGAATAGATATATTCAAGATAATTTAACTCTTTTAGCAAAGGAAACAGTTAGCAGTTTTAGTTTTTATCTGCTTGGTTATTTTACTGTTAATGAGAAAAACTAGTGGAATTATGTCTGTTCATTTTGTTTCAGAAAAGAAGTACTTCTAATGAAGTACACCATCCATTGTGAAAGTGGAAGAGTAGAGGTTATTCATCATGCCTGCCGTGGCTTCGGTTCCTAAAGAACTCTACCTCAGTACTTCACTAAAAGACCTCAATAAGAAGACAGAAGTTAAACCAGAAAAAATAAGCACTAAGAAGTATGTGTTCATTGCTAGTTTAACTGAGTCATATAATAATTTTTAGTTCATTTCCATGTTCTTAAATCAGTTAGGTGAGTAGTAAATGTAAAGTTTATCTCATAAGTAAAGACCTTCTTAGATAAGTTTGTAACTTTATCTTGGCAGAGTACATATATATTTTTCTAATATGCATATTTGTTTTCTGGACAATATATACATCATAAGTTTTTAAGAGGTAAAGTCTGTTAGGTTTCTGCAAAGATCATTCAGCCACAGTTAATATCTTTTTATGAAACAGTATAAAATACATCTTAATTAAAAATTTTCATTTTCGTGTATTTCACATATAAGAGATGGTCTTAGCATAGTTTTTCTTTGATAAAAAAGGGGAGATAGATATTTTTTTAGCCGGTATTGAGCAAAGTGTTAATTCGACATGAACTTTTAACCTACCGATCTGTGTAATACAGAGTTGGGAAGAGAGTTTCAGAAAGAAAGGTGGGTCTAGCTGCATCCAGGCTTGGAGCAAGCAGGTGTTAGAAATTGGGGAAAAAGATGTTCCCTGACTGGAGATAAATGGAATCCTCTGAAAAATGATATGTTTGATCCCAAAGGAACCCACTCCTGAGCTTTTCTAGAGAATCTCCTTGCTGCTTTTAGTTTGTACCTCTGTCCTAGGGTTGTGATGTGATGTGAAGCAGGGTACACACACTGACAAAATGACCCTTGTGTGGGACATACTTGGTCTGAAATACCACTTTGTCCCTTTTTTTGAGTGGTGGTGTAGATCCTTGGCCTGGCCAATTTCATCATTAATCCATGTCTCAATCTTAGAGCACAGTTTGAAAAATCCAGAAAACAAAATGCACTGCTTTGTATAAATAATTATTGATAGAGCAGATTGTATGTAGGCATTGGCACTATAACTTGGTTGCCAAAACTTTCCTAAGTGTATGAATTATTCTTGGCAGAAACACCTAATTTTATTAATTTGCTTTGTCAAACCAGGAACATATCCTTAGAGGGAATGCCACAGAATTCTCATTTTACTGAAGCAAAATTTTAAGATCATATATTTCTGGACTTTTAAGTCTCTTTTTCTTCCAGGACCAGTGAGTCAGAGTGCAGTTCAGCCATTTTGTAGAACACCTTCACCACATAAAAAGATTGACCTCTTATTCCCTTTCCTTTCCCTAATTTCTTGGATTTTTAGATGGGGAGAAACTGTACTTTATGGTTAGAAAGAAGCGAGGAGAACTGGAAATATTTGTTTTAATATTAAAATAATAAAGATTTTAGGCCCCCCCCCCCACTTCAAAACAAAAGCTATGTTCCTTAATTACAGAGTGTGGGACTGTTACGTGGCTTCCTGAGGACCACTTGCTCCAGAACTATCTGTTGTAGTAAGTCTTTTAGGACTGGACTCAGAATGCATTTTGAACAGGTTGTGCTATATAAACTACTGTTGTTAAACACGTATTTACTTGTATCATAAGGGAAATTTTCAGGTGCATCCCAACTTTCATTAACTTAGTATCAGTTCTGAAATAGTGCAGCCTAAATTATGAAATTTATTTTATCAACATTATCTGTAGACTTTACACGTGATTTTTACCCCAGATGTCATCATGTTTTGTTTTTTTCTCTAATTTTAAGTTATGTACAGAGTGCCGTGAGGATCTTTAAGACAGCAGAAGAGAGCAGAACAGATCGTGATGAGGAAAGGGCCTATGTACTATATATGAAATACGTGACTGTTTATAATCTTATCAAGAAAAGGCCTGATTTCAAGGAACAGCAGGTACCTTTCATTTATGCATTTTTATTTGCTAAGTTATTTCTGCACAATGGAATTATCTCCTCTAAAAGTTTTAACTGTACTGTAATTTAGGTAACATTATGTAGCATTAAGTTCAAACTCTGTGCAGATGGTAAAAGCAAACTGAAGATTTAATTTCATTATTTGCAAACATGTGGATACACATACTATATACACATTCTTCTTTTTTTTTTTTAAGATTTTATTTATTTTTCGAGAGGGGAAAGGAGGTGGGGAGAGGGAGGGAAACACGTATGTATGGTTGCTTCTTGTACACCCTCAAGTAGGGACCTGGCCAGTAACTAAGGCATGTGCCCTCACTGGGAATTTAACCAACAACTCTTTGGTTTACGGGTTGGCAATCCACTGGGCCATACCAGCCAGGGCTATATACACATTCTTAATTTGCTTTGTAGTAGTACAAGTTTATAGCAACATATAGACTCATGATCAGTTTCTGTTATGATAAGTCATTGCCAGGTAAAATAAAACTACTTATTTATGCATTAAATAAAAAATAGGACTGTTACTGTACTTTTTCAAAATTCAAGGTTTAGTCACTTCTTTTTAATGTGAAAAGTTTAAAGGTTATTTTTTTTAGTGAATTTATTGGGATGACAAAATTATAGGTTTCAGGAGCACAATTCTACAACAAATCATTTGTACACTGTATTGTGTACTCCCCATCCCAAGTCTCCATCCGTCACTGTTTAGTCCCACTATACCCTCCTCAACCTCCCTCCACCTCTCCTTCCCCTTGGCCGTTACAACATTGTTGTCCATGTCCATGAGTTTTCTCTCTCTTTTTTTCATTCTTGCTCAGTCTCTTTACCACTGCCCCCCTGACAGCTCTCTGCCTGCTCTCTATCTATGACTCTGTCACTATTTAGTTATTTCATTTTGTTCATTAGATTACACATAAGAGTGAAATCATATGGTACTTGTTTGTCTCTGACTGGCTTGTTTCACTTAGCATAATACTCTTCCAGTCTATTCATGCTGTTGCAAAGGGTAAGAGTTCCTTCTTTTTTTTTAATGGTCAAATAGTAGTCCATTGTGTTTTGTTGTTTTTTTTTAATCCATCATCTACTGATGGACACTTGGGCTGTTTCTGCATCTTGGCTATTGTAAATTATACTTCAGTGGACATAGGGGTGGTTTTATCCAACACCCATTTATGATAAAAACTCCCAGCAAAGTGGCAATTGAGGGAACACACCTCAACTAAAAAAGGCCATATATGACAAATGCACAGCCATCATTGTACTCAATGGGCAAAAACTACAAGCTTTACCCTATAAGATTGGGGATAAGAAGAGATGTCTGTTTTCATTGCTCTTACACAACACATATAGAAGTCCTAACCATGGCCATCAGACCAGCAAAATAAGAAGGTATCCAAATTGGAAAGGAGGAAGTAAAACTGTCATTATTTGCCGATGACATGATAATATGTGGAGAACCCTAAAGATTCCATGAAAAAAACTACTTGAACTGGTAAATGAATTCAGTAATGTAGCAGAACACAAAATTAGTATCCAGAAATCAGTTGATTTTTATACATTGATAATGAACTATTTGAAAGGGAAACTAAGAAGACAGTCCCATTCATAATTGCTTCAAAAATAATAAAATACATAAGAATAAATTTAACCAAGGATATAAAAGACATATACTCGGAAAGTTCTAAGACATGGAAAAAAGAAATTGAAGAAGATACAAGTAAGTGGTAGCATATACCATGTTTACGGGTAGGAAAAATCATCATTAAAATGTTAATACTACCCGAAGCAATCTGTAGATTTAAGCAATTCCTATCAAGATACCAATGATACATTTCACAGAACTAGAACAAATATTTCAAAAATGTGTATGGAACCACAAAAGACCCCAAATAGCAATAGCAGTCTTCAGAAAGAAAAACAAAGTTGGAGAAATCTTGCTACCTAATATCAAACTATACTACAAAAGCCATAGTAATCAAAACAGCATGGTACTGGCATAGAAACAGACATATAGATCAACTGAACAGAATACAGAGCTCAGAAAGAAACCCATGCCTTGACAAAGGAGACAGAAACATACAATGGGGTAGAGATAGTCTGTTCAGTAAATGGCATTGGGAAAATTGGACAGATACATTCCAAAAAAAACTGCTAGATCACCACCTTACACCATACACAAGACTAAAACTCAAGATGGATTAAAGACATGTTAGACTCAAAATCTTAAAAATCCTAGAAGAAAACATAAGCAGTAAAATCTCAGACATTTCTCATAGGAATATTTTTTCTGAGATATCTCCTCAGGCAAGGGAAACAAAAGAAAAACAAATGGGACTACAAAATTTTAGTTACAAACTAAAGAGTTTGTGCACAGCAAAAGAAATCATCAACAAAGTGAAAAGACAGCCCACTAAATGGGAGAACATGTTTGCCAATGATATATCAGATAAGGGGTTAATTTTTAAAATATATAAAAAACTTACACAGCTCAACACACACACACACACACACACAAAAACAATCCAATTTAAAAATTGACAGTGGGCCTGAATAGACATTTTTCCAAAGAGGACATATATAGATGGCCATAGACATGTGAAAAGATGCTTAATGTCACTAATTGTCAGAGAAATACAACTTAAAAGCACAATGAAATATCACCACACATCGGTCAGAATGGCTACCATCAAAAACTCAGCACCCAGCAAATGCTGGTAAGGATGTGGAGAAAGGGGAACCCTCATGCACTGTTGGTTGGCATGCTGATTGATGCAGCCACTGTGGAAAGCAGTATGGAGTTACCTCAAAAAATTAGAAATGGAACTTCCACTTCCTTATGATTCAGTGATTCTACTTCTGGGAATTTATCCGTAGTTACTTGTTATTATGTGACAGTTTTTAATATATCATTGACATTGTAGCTATATTAAAGATACCAATTTCCAAAAGTAATGCTGATTGCTTCCATTTGTAATATTATTTTGCCTTTAATCCTTTCAGCAGATGCCTTCTTTCACTTTGCTGAAGCCATGGGATGGGGGGATGGGTGTAAATGAAGAAGGAGAACTGATGACTGACTGATAAGTGTTGCTGGGGGAAATGGTTGCTTTTCAGCTGCACCAGAAGTAGGCAAAAGAAGGACATGGAGGCTAGGTTAAAGCAATGAGAAGAATTTTGTGTTTCCATCTCCTCTTAGAAGCAGTTTTGCCTCCTACCAGAAAATAAATAGCAAAATACTGCCCATAGATTTCTTATCTGATAGAGAAGCCACTCTTAAATTAAAATTGAGAGTTTTATTTTGCTCACTGGTGGCAGAATATCCTTGCCTCATTTAAATTGATTTAACAGAAGTTAAAAAAAAAAGTTGTTTGTTGGTTTTTTTTTGAAATGGCTTACTTTTTTTTCCATAGTAGTGGAATTGATGCTATTTCTTTTGGTTGTTGGTTAAGGGATAATTTATATATCCTTTAATGGTGATAAACTGTTGCCGGTATTTCTTACAGTAAGGTTATTCTAATAATAGTGTGGAGTGTTAGATCTAGCTTTGGAAAGGTGGCCCCTTGCATCTAGAGGTTCATCCTTCTGTCCACAAAGGGTTGGACTGATCCTGTCCTTGGAACAGGACACCTCTTGGGCATACTTACCTACATGTAGAGACAAAGGCTTGTCCAAATTTAAACAAGTTTTTGCATACTCTTTGATGATTTTCACAGTACCTTTTGTTCAAAAAGAAGTATAAAAGCATTTGCTAAAAGAAATATTTTTGAAAAATTTCCAGGTTTGGATAACTGGTAGTTTTGGTGTTTGCTGTTTTGTCTATTGTTGTAGGGCCAATTTTTACATACTTTTTAATATTTTGCTTTATTTTTAAAGTTAGTTTTTGTTGTTGTTGTTTGACAAGGTTGGGGTGTTTTGTAGTTTAAAAAAACTACTAAAAAAACTACAAAAAACTAATGAGGTTGGGAGTAAATTAGAATGAAAAAGATTTTTTCCACTTCCACAGACTATCCCTTGCATTAGCAGAGTGAGTACCTATTTGGAAGTGGCAGTTGTTCAGATTAGGAAGCTCCCTATTACTTCATATGCTGCAGTTCAGTTCCTGGTTTTCAGTAAAAGGACTAATTCCATTTGTTCTGTCCAGGGTTCTGCATCTGCTTCTGTCTTAGAACTGTTTTTTTTTTTTAAGATTTTATTTATTTAATTTTAGAGTTGGGGAAGGGAAGGAGAAAGAGAGAGAGAAACATCAGTGTGTGGTTGCCTCTCACGTGCCCTCTACTGGGGACCTGGCCTGCAACCCAGGCATGTGCCCTGACTGGAAATCAAAGTGGCAATCTTTCACTTTGCTGGCCTTTGCTCAGTCAACTGAGCCACACCAGTCAGATCTAGAATGATAATTTTTAATTTTTTTAATTCTCACCCAAGGATATGTTTATTGATTTTAGAGACAGAGGGGAGGAGAGGGGGGAGGAAGGGAGGAAAGGAAGAAGAGTTAGAAAGGGAATGGTGGGAGGAAGGAAGGAAAATACAGATTTGAGGGAGAGAAAAATGCACCCTTTTCAGGAACTCAACCCACAACTTAGGTATGTGCCCTGACCAGGAATTGAACTTGCAACCTTTTGGTGTGTAGGATGAGGCTCCAACCAGCCAAGCCAGCCATCCAGGGCTAAATCATCATGGAATTCTCCTTTTGTTTACATTTTTAAAAATGTATTTTTAAAGAATGGGGAGGGAGGGGGAAAGAGAGAGAGAGAAACATGGATGTGAGAGAAACATTGTTCAGTTGCCTCCCACATGTGCCCCAACGAGGAACTGAACCCACAACCTAGGCATGTTCCCTGACTAGGAATTGAACCAGCAACCCTTTGCTTTGCAGGTTGATGCCCAACCAACTAAACCACATTGGTCCAGGCTCTGCGTGGCAATTGATAATTAATCCTAAATATTAATTGGTAAACATTTTTGTTTGGGAGGTCATGAGAGTTGCTTGGATCTTAATGTTCAGGAATAGGAAAGTTCTATTTGGTAAACTTAAGAAGGAAATGTTTTTAGGTATATAAGAATTAGATGTTGGTTTTTAAATTGTGCCAATTGTCAGTGCTATTGAAATTCTTTTTAAAAATCTTCAAAAAAAAAAAAAAAGGTTTTATTGATTGATCCCAGAGAGAGAGGAGGGGGTTCGGGAGAGAAACATCGATGTTAGAGTGACAAATGTCAATTGGTGGCTTCCCATACCCAGACCTGCAACCTAGGCCTGTGCCTGACCGGAATCAAACCCTTGGCGTTTCAGTTTATGGGATGGCACTCCGACCCACTGAGCCACACCAGCCAGGGCTGCTATTGAAAATTTGAAAATATTTACGCTTACTGTAACTCTGTAATGGTACAGAGAGAGAATTATTGACAAGAGGCCTCTTTAATATTAAGGGGATGTCGTTGGGGAGCTTGTAATAGGCATAGCCAAGCACACCATTTTTTCAGCATTTAAACATTGTTAAGCTGAGCTTATAGACTGGTATTTCAATGTCAAAAAAGTAATGAAACAAGTCATAGTACTTTTTGGTTTTACTTTGTATTTTGTTTTTATCAGAAACCTTATTGTATTGATTAGATTTCATTTTTATTTAAAAAGCATTGTATCAGTCATCAGGACTAATAGTAATTATAGTTTCCACTGTAATTTTCAGTTGACAAAATATTGAACAAGTCATATACTTTCATTGAAATTACATAGTGAAGGACCCTTTTCTTAAATTTAGTCCTTAATCTAGAAGAATAACTCAACCAAAACATGATCTACTTTTAGACTAGATAGATAGGCCTAGGGTAGCTCTTACCAACAGATTTGTTCCATCCAGAGCTCTTGCTGACTCTCCGTGAGCCAAAGATGGATATTTTTGACCTGGTCTTTCTTTTTTAAATTTTGATTAATACATCCTTTGTGATGAATTGTACTAGTGGGCTCTGTCTGCAAAGTCACACCGACAGGTTGTGGCAGATTGGATCCAGCACTTGCCTGGCGCGGTCTCACTGCACTGCTGTCACGTTGAACTGGCCTTGACTTAAAAATCTCTCTCTGATTGCAGGAACATGTGAGGGATTTCTTAGAGATGGGATTTTTAAAAACTTCATTATGCTTATTAGTAAAGTATGTGCCAAAACTTTCTGCTTTTTAAAGGTAGATTATATTATTGGTGGTTTGTTCCCTATCATTTGATTTTTAGTTATTCAAGGTTTCCTCAGATGTAAAACTTGTTTTATGTCTAAAGTGTTTGAAGGCAGGTAATTAATGTAAAATACAGGTGGAAGAAAAAACATTTCATTTTGAAACAAAAGAAAACAAACCCTGTGCTGTAGATTGATACACAACTTGTTTTACTGCTTCTGAGACTAGAGAAAAATAAAACTAGGTAATTTGTTTACAGTAGCAAAGTATATTAAAGTTCAGCTTTTTGGCACTTAATTATAAATGAAAAGAATAGTTTTTACACTTCCTAAATGGTGCCTTACAAATAAGTGAAGCTATTAATTACTGGAGTTTTTTTATGCTAATGGTATGAAGAGATACTTGTGAAACATTTTGAGAACAAGCTGTGATTTATATAGGTTAAAAGTTTTTTAAAATACTTTATTTGCTCATAATAATGTTTCTATCACCATGGTCCAGCCTATGAGCCACATGTGGCCCAAGATGGCTCTGACTGTGGCCTAATACAAAATGGTAAATTTACTTAAAACATTGAGCTTTTTTTGTGAATAGGTGTCGTAATGTATTTAATGTGTGGCCCAAGACAACTGTTCTTCTTCCAGTGTGGCCCAGAGATGCCAAAAGGTTGGACACCCCCAAACTTCCCTGCTTTAAGTACTATGATTTTAATGTCTTTAGCATTAGAGCTGTGTGCGGTTGCCAGCACTAGTAGTACAGGATGGTTTTTCTATTATTTTAGGACTACATTCATTCAATGCTTGGACCTGCAAACATCAAGAAAGCTATTGAAGAAGCTGAAAGACTTTCTGAAAGCCTTAAACTCAGGTACAGACATTACTATTTCAAATCTTTAAAAGAATGGAAACTTAGACGATAAAAATAATATTTAGAATATGTCTGTTTATGTTGATCATGCATAAAAATCCCAATTCCTAAAAATACATTCTGTTTTAATCGGACACAATAATTAAATCTTTTGCTATATCACATATATTATGTTCATGTGTTACCATTAATATTCTTTGCTGAAGTTTTAAAAATGCTTAGAATGATAAATTATTAAGGTAAAAATTGATGTATTCATTTAGCATTCAGGTCCTTTTTTTTTCTAAGTTTCTAACAGGATTCTTCAGAAAAATATAATTCATCCTGTGCCCCAATGTTGTAATATTCTATTGGATACTGTAGTATTATGGGAATAAACTATTCAGTATAGTTTTGAACTGCCTGGTTGCAGCAGTTATATGTGTTTAAAAAAAACCTGATTCTAGTATTTGCCATGACTGATTTATCAGGCATCATATAATTAGAAATTTAAAATGGTATGTTTTAATTTTTAGTCATTCCCTAATAACAAAATAAAAGAGGGAGCTATTTTTAGTTCAGTACTTTTCTTAATGCTTTTTATATTTGGATTAATAAACTATTACAGTTATATACACCATGGCCTTTACTTAGAAATGGTCTTTTTTAAATACTATATTCCCTTCATCCTTTCTAGAAATTACTACTCTTGGATCTGGAATATGTTAAGGTGCATGATATCACTTAGACTCACACTTCTCTCTCTCCTTTAGCCAGTTAATCAATTAAGTAGAATAGAATTTCGAGCAATCTTTGGATTACCCATTATAAACTGTTTTCTCTTGGGTTTGCCTGGTTTTTCCCTAATCATATGGTAGCATTAATCATGTTCTTTATCTTCTCTGTCTTTTGAGCTTTCGGGCCTTTCACTTATTTGTCGTCTGTACTAGGATTTTAGGATTGTAAGTCCTTTCAAAAGGAAATTGCAGCAGGTTTGAATCATTAAAAGGTGAAAATTAGTGGGAGGGAACGTAATAAAAACACTAAACAACTTCAACTTGAGAACATAGTTTTCAAGATTTTTTGGCAATTTGAAATAAATCTACAGCAGGCAGATTTACAAGATGTGACTTGTAATGAACAGTGGTGGCATTGAATTTCAATTAGAGAGAGAAAATATGTACCGAAGCAGGATACTAGTATTATGTAACAGAAACTCCTTTACTTTTCATGATCATTGCAATAAAGACATTTTGACCTCATTTTTTAACTAGATATGAAGAAGCCAAAATTCGGAAAAAACTTGAAGAAAAGGACAGGCAGAAGGAAGAGCAACTGCAGAGACAGCACAGACAGGAAGCAGGACGAGAGGACAGCGACACGTCGGCCGAGAGCTCTTTGGAGAATGTGTTGGACTCCAGAGACAAAACCCAGAAGGTAGTTCAGATTTATTCTATGAAATAAAGAGAGTCTTCTCAGAGTATTTGCTTAAGAAAAGTTGAGATATCACTACAACATACTTTTAGGCAACAAGGGTAAAATTTGATGTCTTTTTTAAATCAGAAATTGAATTAAATGAAATTCTAGCTTCAGTTGGTCCTGTTACAAGTTTTTGGTTTGTGGTTACCATGACATTCATATGTAACAAGCTGTGTTTATTGCAGTCTCTCTTAAATTGATACTTGCTTAAAACTGCATTTTAAAAGCTCTTTCATAAAAATGTTAATGAAGACTGTTCAAGATTATTGAAATATGAGAGAGAGATTGAACTCAGCAGTGCCTAAACGAAACATGGGAGGATTCTTAAACGCTAATTAGCTTAATGGAAAAGTATTGGGGTATGTTAGTGCCAGAGGCTGGTCATTGTGACAGGTCATCCATGTGTGCTGATTTTCAGTTATGGAAATTAGGCTCCTACCCTCGCAGAGATGGGGAGGTAGGGTTCCTTATATTTTAAAAAATTTTTTCATTGTTGTAAAATATACATTGCATAAAATTTAACCCCTTCACCATTTTTTAAGTACACAGTTCAGGGGTGTTGAGTACATTCACATTGTTGTGCAAACGTCATCACTGTTTGCCTCCAGAAGTACCTTTATCTTGCAAAACAGAAACTCCGTCTGTTAAACAATAACTCCCCACCCCCCCTCCCCCAGCTCCTGGCATCCACCATTCTGTTTTCTGTGTCTATGAGTTTGACTACTCTAGATAAGTCACGTAAGTGGAATCATATACTATTTGGAAAGCCCTACGTGTTTCCTACCCCCGCTCTCCACGTTTATGTTTTGGACATATTCTACACCTTTTGTGTGAATGTGTTTGCCTGTATTCCTTAATTATTATAGTTACACATGATCTTTAACTACGTTGTCTTTTAACCTTTCATACTAGCTTTATACTTGGTTGGTCCACTACTTTTACTAAATGTCTGCCTTTATCCGTGTTTTTTTTTTCTTTTCAATATTTTTTAATTTTTACTATTGGCCATTTCTTTTCCACTTAAAGAAGTCCCTTTAACATTTCTTGTATTGCTGGTTTAATGGTATTGAACTCCTTTAGTTTTTGCTTGTCTTGGAAATGATCTTTTCTTCAATCCTGAATGATAACCTTGGTGGGTAGAGTAGTCCTACAATTTCATTTTAGATTCTCCCTTTCATCACTTTGAATGGTTCATGCTAGAGAATAGCCCAATTTTTATTTTACTGTAAGAAATACTCTTTCATTAAATTAAATAACAAGTTTTGGTAACAGTCTGTGGTTTAAAATTGTATTTAGCCAGTAACTGAAGAAAATTTTGAAGAAATACAGGATTCAGATATGCTGGTAGGTAGTTCAGCTATTAACTACTGACAGAGTAATGCAATAATGCCATGTCCGTCTGTATTTTGTAAAATGCCAGCACTCTGGGCCCTTCATATTCTAGGCTTTCCATTTCAATGAAGTATTAAAAGCTGAAGCTTTTTTTTTTTCCTACGAAATAGGTAAATGGTGAAAAGAATGGAAAAAATGAGACCACAGAAAAAGGTAAGTGTGTACAGAAAGAGAGTTCTTTTAGGTTATTACTCAGATCTTCTTTTAATCAAAATTAGCTTCAGATTTTATAGTGAGATTCTAATATTGTGTCTAATCTGTATGCAAGCTGTGTTAGTTTTCCTAGCCTGTACCAATACACTGACAATGTATTACATTCTGAATTTCTCTATCATGGGTTTTATTTGTGAGAACATGCCATTGAAAAGATCATAACCACAGTTTACATTTGTCACTGTTTTCTTTTCGGGGTAGTTTAGCATACTGATTAAGGGCATGGACTCTCAGGAGCAAGACTGCTTGGGTTTGAACATTGGCTCCTTTTCTGAATTTCCATGTGATCTTGAACATGTTACTTAATCTCTTTAACTAAACCTTCCCCTTTTTAAAGCGGGATAATGATAGTACCTAGTTCATAGGGTTATTGTGAGGATTGAACAAGTTAATGAATGTGAAACTCATAGTAAACTTTATGTAAGTATTAGCTATTACTACTTATGACTCTAGGTTGAAGACTTATTTAAAAGTTTTCTTTATGCCCTTAAAAAATTTAAACCAGTAATTTTGCTATTATCTACAGGTGGTATCTATGCTCTAGTCACACATATATGACCTAAAGAATAAGACTTGGGCAATTGCCTAAGTTTTCCTCTCAGAAAAGGTTTAATTTAAATATCAGTTGTTTGTAACGCTAAAATAAATTCTTTAAAATATTGCCATACAACAATTAAAAAATAAACTTAGTAAGGTACGTTCCTAAACAGCTGTTGTCAATTCATTCTAAGATTTATTTCTTAGATTTATATTCCCTTGTATCTCATTCTACTTCAGTATTATTCATCTCAGTGGTTTGTTCTCAACTTTCTTAGATTGTTTTATTGTCAAAATGACCTTGATGGTTAGAAAGGGAAGTAGGATGGTTATTAGCAGCTGGGTATTTTATCTTAGGAGATACTGTGACTATGTTCTCATAACTCACTGCTGAAGAAATAGTTCTTTACATATTAAGCTCCCTTGTAGTGCTTTTTGATCTTTAGTTTGTACAAGCTGAAAGTGGAAAATAGCCAAACAGCAACTGTTTATTGTCTAAAAATCAGAGCGCTAGGTACTAAATGTTCTAGGTTTGGGGGGATGCTGTGGTCTTTGCTGCTGTAGTGTGAAAGCAGCCATTGACAGTGTGTAAACAAATGGGTATAGCTGTGTTCCAATGAAAACAGGAGGCCCTCGTTTGCCAGCCTTTCTCATGGAACTCAAATAACAGGCTTGTGACTCTAGGCATACTTGAAAATCTGAAATAGCCCTCATAAAAACCCCTTAGAGACTTTAAAAGGAGAATTTAGACCTCATTTTCACTGGGGGCCACATCAGCTACGTGGTTGCCTTCAAAGAGCCAAAATAATTTTAAGACTGTATAAATGTAACTACTCCTTAACTTTTAAGAAGTTGAAATTACATTCAGCCCTTTGAAGACAACCGCTAATGTGGCCCCCTGTAAAAATGAGTTTGACACCCCTGATTTAGACTTTTTCAAGAATTTTTGAGCCATAGATATTTCTTCTGGTTGATGTTTTTTAAATGGCTTAATTTTTATTTTAATCCTCACCTGAGGATATGTTTATTGATTTTAGAGAAAGACGAAGGGAGAGAGAGAAGAACACCCATACTATGCCCCAACTGGGGTCAAATCTACAACTTGGGTATGTGCCCTGACCAGGAATCGAACTACAACCTTTTGGTGTATGGGACAGTGCTTCAACCAGCTGAGCCACCTGGCTAGGGTTAAAATGGCTTAATTTTTAAAAACAGAATATTTTTGTGACATACACACATTAATTTCCTTTATTTTATGCCAGTAACACCAGAAGTAATTATAAACTCAACAGTAAGTTTTGCTGTTTAAGTCTTTATTAATAGAACCTTTACTTAGTTTCTTGATAAATGTCAAAAACACATGTTATATGTAATTTAAAAGGTAATAAATAATATGATGAAGTAGTAGGTATGTGACAAGGACACTTCACTGTTCAAGAAAAGGCTATGCTTTTTTGTATTTAGTACTATGACAGAACTGGGTGTTACTTGTCACTAATATTATCTCTCATGATTCCAAGGATCAATCACAGCAAAGGAACTATACACAATGATGATGGATGAAAATATCAGCTTGATTATAATGGATGCTCGAAGGATGCAGGATTACCAGGATTCCCATATTTCAAATTCTCACAGTGTTCCTGAAGAAGCCATCAGTCCAGGGTGGGTCATTATGCATTTCGATAAAATAGTAAACTGTAGATAGTGATAAATGTTAATAATTAGCATCCAGTCTAAGTGTCAAAATAGTGTTTTCCTTCCCGTTGACCTTTTCAGTTTTTGCTCCTACTGGCATACTGTGCCCTTTCTGAATAGTAGTGTAAAAGACATTCCAGTCTGCCTATTTTCTCTCATCTATGGCATTTGGAGTCTTATTAGAAGAGAAATGAAGCTGTCCTTATGTGCTATCTCTTCTTGGGTGTTTGTAGACTAATTTCTTGTACTGTTTTTTATGTGTGAGCTTTTGAAGTGTATGCATCAAATGGACTAAAGTTGTGATCTAATTGAGTGGCTTTTTTAATTTGAATTTCCCATACTATTATTTGTGATAAAAGAATACACAAGTACTTTTTTGAAGAAGCAGTGTAGCTAAGTAAGAGAGTATAGGGTATAAAGTCAGAAGCCCATGTTTCCATCTATAAAAGAGGGTAATTATAGTACCTATCTTAGATGTTCTGAGAAGTTAAAATGAGAAATTTTATACATACACGTTTACCACAGTTCCTGGCATTTATAAGGACCTAATCAAATTTTTTTCTTTTTTGATAAGGTTTTTAACCTATGACATTAAAGTTACGTGCATAGATATGTTGTATATTAGAAACTATCACAATAGTGACTGAGTGAAAGCTACAGATCCAGGGCTATTTCCACTATTTTGAGTGTTATATAACCTCTCTGGGTCTTGGTGTACGGGCTTGGACTAGGTAAAACCTGTGGTCCATATTAGGACCAACTTATTATTAAGAAGATACATTACTTAAATTAGGAAAAAATTCCTAATTTAATATTATCATAATATTGGGTGCATTGCAGATGTTTGCTAAATGTTTGAGCTGAAAATTAGGGTGTATTGTAAATATGCTGTCTAATTCATAGTCTGTCTAGCTATTTATTTTATCTGACTTTTTAATTGAATAGTTTGGGTTGATGATTACTTTTTTCTAAAACATGGTGGCCTCTGCCATTCCCTCTGTCATTCCTCTCCCCTGAACCACTAAACAGATTCATAAATAGTACTCTATTTAAATAAGAGATCTGAGAGCTTAGTCTAATCTGTAATCAAGTAGGTGTGACTATATTTTGAGTTTGTTTCCCAAAATATGAGATTTAGACTATTGTAAAACTAAACATGAGTTTAGGTCGAAAACTAAGAACAGTGAACTGCATGCCAAGAAAAGTGTTCCCCTTTAATTTCTGTCAGTCTTTCTGAATTAGTTAAAAGAAGTTCAGTTTGGTGCTAGCATTCCTTTTTAATACTTGCTGATCTCTCTTTCTTACCAGAAAGCACATCTCAGCCCTTTCTCTAGGCAGCAGTGTCTCTAGCTAGGGGATGGTGATTATGATATTTTTTCATTGTCTAGTTTTAAGTTTAAAACAGCGTAGTATTCACACGATAAGGATGCTTATGTAAGTATTTAGCCCTGTGAATTTTCAAAAACTGTGCACATCCAATTAGTTAGTATCTGGACAAGAAACACCATCATCACTGCGAAGCCCCTCATATGCCACCTGTTAAGTTATCCCCCATATCCCCACTGCCCAGGGGACACCAGCTTCTAACAAAATAGATTGTTTTTTGTCTGTTGTTGTAGTTTATATCAGTGGAATCATGCAGTCTGTAGTCTTTTATGTCTGGCTTTTTGTACACAACCTAATGTTTGTGAGAGTCATCTGTGTTATTGTGTGCACTTGTAGTTTGTTTATTCTTACTTGCACTCTACTAGGTGAATATAGCATTATTTATTGATCTATTTATGTTTAGGATTATCCCTTACTTATTGGATATGATGCTGTTTTTCCATGTATATGGGAGTATACATTTTCCTGTTAAATTTTATTTAAGTAAAGGATCACTTTCAATTAAAATATTAAATAATAGTCAAGGTAGATCAATATTGCAGCAGTATGTGAAGATAATATATGAAAGAGTGAACTTTGGGAACTACTGGTTGATACTATTGTTTTCCAAAGTATTTTCTGCAGAATACTAATCTTGGGTTTTTGGATAAAGAGTATTTAGGCAAATATATCCCTGCAGTAAGGAATAGTCCTTAAGAATATCACATTTCAGTATTTCTCCTTTTTTTGTTGACTAAGCATCCTTCTGATCTCAATATATCAGGTAAGAATTATTATGAGGCAATATTTTATCTGTATATTTTAATATACAGGTACACAATATTACAGTAAACAACATTATTTTATATGGGATTTCTTAAAAATAAACCACTTAGTTTTACTTGAGAACAAAAGTACATAGTGCTGAGGACTTTGAGGTAGTAGGATTTGGGGGAGGGGCCATGAGGCAGGCCCATTGTAAGGACTTGAGGAAGAACTTCAGCAGTTCCGTGAGCAAAAAAGGAAGTGAACTGCCTGCTTTAACATAGAGTTAATAATATTCACAGGTGATGATGTAAGAGCCAACACAACGAAGCAGCTGAGAGTGTGGACTTGAACCAGAGTGCCTGAGTTTGAATTCTGGCTTCACTTGCAGCTGTAACCTTGAGCTAGTTACTTAATCTCTTTGTGCCTCAGTTTCCCCATCTATAAAATGGGGATAACAATGCCTACTTTATAGTATTGTTGTGAGGAATCAGTGAGATGCAGAATAAAGCATTTAGACTAGTACCTGGCACATAGTAAGTGCTGTATGTGTGTTAAGTAGATATTTGGGCGTTTGATTAACTGTTAATTATCTGTATAGGTAATGGATAACTGAAATATAAATAATGTTACCCAGGTGATCCCCCAGTTGTTTATACTTGGCTGAGAGAGATGCTCAGATGAGGCCCTCTGTTTTCAGGTTTGGTCCCCACTTTTTTATAAAGGGTCGAAATTGTGTCTACTTCTTTTAGTTTCTAATATTAACATAGATTCCTGTGTTATGCAGTTGTTAAACATTTTAGGGTATATAGTATCTTAACACAGTCTGACCTCAGAAAGGAATCTGTCTTAAAGTTTGCTATAGTGTGCTACAGACTGTAGAACAAAACTCAGTGTCTTATGTTAGTATATTAGGACCTCTTACCTACTTTTGCCCCAATACAAATGTTAATACATTTCAGAGTCACTGCTAGTCGGATTGAAGAACACCTCCCAGATGACTCTAAAGACATATGGAAGAAGAGAGGGAATGTGCATTATGTGGTACTTCTTGACTGGTTTAGTTCTACAAAAGATTTACAAATTGGAACAACTCTACGGAGTCTGAAAGATGCACTTTTCAAGGTTAGCAAGTTTCCTTGTTAGTTTATTATAATTGCAAGTTTTCTTTGGTTGGTAGAGGTATGTGGACTAGTTTATCTTAAGCACAAGAAAATTCTTATGCTTTGGCTGTAGATTTTTTAAAAATTTGAATTAAAAGACGTTTACCAAATAACAGTAAACTGCACTATGTAAAGTAGCATGTTAGGATTTTCAGAAATAGAAGTAGTCTGAAAAGTGTTATTTTTTATTTTATTTTATTTTATTTATTTTTTTGCTTTAAGAATTAGATTATGCCCTGGCTGGTATAGCTCAGTGGATTGAGTGCGGGCCTGCGAACCACATGATGGTGGTTTGATTTCCCATCAGGGCACATGCCTGGGTTGCAGGCCAGTTCCCAGCAGGAGACTCAAGAGAGGCAACCATACATTAATATTTCTCTCCTTCTCTCCTTCCCTTCCCCTCTAAAGAGAAATAAAATCTTTAAAAAAGAGAGAGATTATATTTTCACTTTTTAAAAATAGATTTATTTTTAGAGAGAAGCGAAGGGAGGGAGAAAGAGAAAAACAGTGTATGGTTGCCTCTCATAGGCGTCCCAACAGGGGACCCGGGCCCCCAACCCAGGCATGTGCCTTGACCAGGAATCAAACCAGCTACCCTTTGGTTTTCAGACCAGCACTCAATCCACTGAGCCACACCAGCCAGGGCTATATTTTCACTTTTTTTTTTAACTGCTGTTCAATACAACTGTACTTGAACAGCAATTAAAAAATATGAAAAGAAAAAGAATTAGATTATAAAAACAGAGACAAAGGAAAAGGTCAGTAAGGAAAAAAGACTAATAGATTTGACTTCATAAAATTAAAACTTAGCTGTGAAAAAATACCATAAAATTAGAAGACAGAAGACAGTTATTTGCAACAATTATGGCAGTGATTTAAGACTACCTAAAATCCAAGGAGTTTTTAAAAAAAACTTAATAAGAAAATTACTTCAGATAAAATGGTAAAGTAAGTAGTGGGCACAGACATAAACAGGAGAGAAAATGCAAGTGATAAAATCATAAAAGTGGCCAACTTTACTAGTAATCAGAGAAATGCAAATTAAAACAATGAATGCCATTGTTACTGATATAATTAACCAAGATAAAAATGTTGTTTGTTATTTTTACTGATTAGTTTTAAAGGGAGGAAGCGGGAGATAGAGACATCAGTCTGTTGTTACATTGATTTGTGCATTCATTGGTTGATCTTGTAAGTGCCCTCCCTGAGTGGGGATGGAATCTACAACTTTGGCATATTGTGATGACACTCCAACTAACTGAGCCACCCGCCCAGGGCCAAAAATACTCCATTTAATTGGTTGAATTGGTTAACAAAGAAATAATTATTTACTCTTATTTTATTGTTTACTAAGAAAATAGCAGACTGTATAGAAAAATGGGCAAAGGATGAAAATAAATCATAGGATATAAATGGCTAATAAACACTAAAAGATGTTCAGCTTTACAAATAAATGCTAATTAAAACAAGTTAACATTTTTGTCCACCAGTTTGAAAATTGTAAAGATTTATAATGGGTATTTTCATACACTGCTGATAAGTATATAAATTGGTGTTGTCTTTTTGAAAGGCAATTTGGCAGCATCTACCAAACTTTTAAACCATTGGTTTTACTCCTAGGAAATTATGCTACAGAAATATAAAGATTTTTTTAAGATCATCTCAAAGATTAGCAATATATGAGCCTTAAAATGTTCATGTGCCTTGGCTCAATAATTCCATTTCCAGAGATTTTCCTAATGAAGTTAATTGGGTGTGAATGTATAAGGAAGAATCGTCAGTGTTTATCTAAGCATTGTTTATAATTAACTGGGAAAAATAATGTTAAGTGTTCAAGTGATGGATTCAGTTTTGGTATGCGTGTATTTGTGTATGAAATAGAATATTAGCTGGTCAATACAAATTATAGCTCTTTATTAATAAAAGGCTAAGAAGAGAAAAGAAGCAGCAGCATAAAAGTCTTATTGTTTTATAAATATGAAGTTTAAAAAGTATGCCTCTTCATAGAAAACTAAGAATAAACTGAAATGTTAAAGTGGTATCTCTGGGTTGTGAGGTTTTGGATGATTTTTATTGCATATAAACTTATTTTTCTTCTGATATCATGGATTCCTTGTGTGTTTGTAAAAACCTCATCTATCCATTTGTTTCATTTAATGTTGAATTTTTAATTCAGCTCGTTTTTTTATCACTTACAAGATTAATCTTGAAAAGAGCACTTTTAAAGTTCGGGTTTGTTGTGTTTTTAGCCGCCATATTAAAAACACTATTTCCTTATTTTATAGTGGGAAAGTAAAACCGTCCTGCGCAACGAGCCTTTGGTTTTGGAAGGAGGCTATGAAAACTGGCTCCTTTGTTACCCCCAGTACACAACGAATGCTAAAGTCACTCCGCCCTCACGAGGCAGGACTGAAGAGGTGTCTGTCTCATGTATGTATGTGATGAGAAGTTTTGTTTACAATTAATTGTTTCAGTAAAATAAACTCTAAATTTATGTTCTCAGGATAATGTTCTTAGTTGTGTGTGCATTTGTGCTATTAGATGGCATTTTGTTTTCAGGCATAAGAAATACATGATGTCCGTATAGCCTGGAAATTAATGTTTAAGACTGTAGTTGTCACCTCATTTTGCTTACATTTAAGTCATCACCTATAATACGAGTGAGATATTTCAGATGTGTTTATGGGGTTTGCTGTTCTTTCAATTTATTATCATTCTTTTGGGGATTTTAGTGAATTTTACTTATCCCTCACTGGAAGAATCAGTTCCTTCTAAACCTACTGCACAAATGCCACCTCCTCCTATAACATTGGATGAAAATATAGAATTGATAAACGATCAAGATGAGAGACCGAGACCATTGACCCTGTCAGCTCCGTTGGAAGCAATTGCTACTTCTAAGTCTGATGTTTCACCCATAAGTCAGCCAGTGCCTATTGTAAAGAATTTTCCACAGGTATATTCTTGAATTTTTTAAACTTTATTATCTCTTTTCTTTGAATATTACGTTAAATATATAGCACAGAAATGATGTTTTACATATAACCTTTAATATTTTAGAAAAATATCAGTGAGAAGACTGTATATGTTTTGGTACCTTTTTGGCAATGAAATATTTTCATTATGATTCAGTTCTGTTGCCACAGAACAGATAATGGGAAGGATTTTTAAACCCAGCTGGCAATCCAATTACTACAGGCAGTGACAATAGAAGATTATATTTATCACCACAGTGAATTTGAGCACTTTTAAGCTTTGTGTGGGTTTTCTTATTATTTAATCCATAATATTTTCCCAAATCGTTTGGTTTACAGTTGACAAATATGTGATGATGGTATTTTGGATTTGAAACAGTACTTTAGTTCCATTTCCTTAGAATTCAACACATAAATTACAGGCATGTTTTAACAATAAATCCCCAAAAAATTTTAACCAAGATGTTACAGTAAAAATTTGCAGCATTTTCCTCTTCAATAGATTTTATGTAAGGGAAGATTAACTAATTCTCCCCTAACATTTTTCAATCAGATTTTTTAGTATTCACATGTGTAAAAATAGCCATAGCATAGGAAGAACATCATAATTGTTCTAATAGTTAACTGGAGCACAGAGCAAGGAGACAAGTTCTGACTGAGGGTATCAGGAAGGTCTTCACGGAGTTTTTATCAGGGCTCTCAGAGTTTAGTAAGATTTGAGCATGGAAAAGACAGTAGACTATTGTATGGCTGGAGGCACAGAACATGCTCCGGGACCAGTGAGTAGTCGTGAGTGCTTAGACAGAGTTCTCTGTGGCAGAACAGTGATTGATAGTGGGTGAGATTGGGAAGATGGACCAGAGGCATGAAGAGACACTTGGGTCAGATTGGAACTGTATCCTGTTGTAGACTCAAGGAAACCCTTTAAAGAATTTTAAACTTGAAAGTAACATGGTCATAGCTATGCTTTTAAGATTAAGGAAAAATGCATTTAGGTTTCTATTCAACCTTTTATAGTTAACCTCATGTTCTAGTGGTTCTTCCTACTTCCTTCTCAAATGTAGAAAACAATAGGGGAGAGCAGTTTTGTTTTAAGTGAAGGGAAAAAAAGAGAAGTGAGGAACAAAAAAATGATATTTTTCTTCACTAATTTCTTCCTATGGTATTGTTTTTTACTGGGAAAATGTACAGTTTATTTTATAAGAACACGATGCAGGTTGTTACTGCCAGATATTTTTGTAAGTTCTCATTTTTGTTTAGTAAACCACCTTCTCAAAAAATTGTGCTAGCAATGCTTCTAACAATTTTGTAGGTTTAGTTTGCAGTTAAATCGAGGTAATAAACACTTAACTCATTAAATCTAGAATTTAGATAGTTTACTTCTTAACTTATATTTAATTCATCCTCACAGCAATCTATTTATTTATTACATGTCCAGCACAATCTCTACCCTCGTGGAACTTATACTCTAGGAGGGAAGAAGCTTTTAAACAAATAATTATAGTTATTCCATCAGAATCCCAATAAGTTTTATTAGGGAAAAGAATCCAGGACTTGGCTAGTTTTAGGGATCAGGAAATTCTTGTTTAAGGGAGAGATATTTACACCAAGATTTAATATTGTGGTGGGAATTATCTAGGTGAACAGCTGATGTAAAGGGACCTGAGTTGGGATGGAGCATAGCATCTTTGAGGAAAATTTTTTTTTGTAATTATGTTTTGTTGTTCAGTTACAGTTGTCTGCATTTTCCCCTTTCTACTGCCCCTCTACCCCAGCCAAACCCACCTCCCTCCCTTGCTTCCACCCTCCCCCTTGGTTTTGTCCACGTGTCCTTTAGAGTAGTTCCTGAAAACCCTTCTCCCACTGTCCCCTCCCCTTTCCCCTCTGGCTGTTGTTAGATTGTTCTTAATTTCAACGACTCTGATTATATTTTGTTTGCTTTTTTCTTTTGTTGGTTATGTTCCAGTTAAAGGTGAGATCATATGCTTTTTGTCCCTCACCACCTGGCTTATTTCATGTAGCATAATGCTCTCCAGTTCCATCCATGATGTCACAAAGGGTAGGAGCTCCTTCTTTCTGCTGCATAGTATTCTATTGTGTAAATGTACCATAGTTTTTTGATCCACTCATTCACTGATGGGCGTTACAAGGCCATTGTCATCAAAACAGCCAGGTACTGGCATAAGAACAGACCCATAGACCAATGGAACAGAATAGAGAGCCCAGAATTAAACCCAAGTCTCTATGGTCAATTAATATTTGATAAAGGGGGAAGAAGCACAAAATGGAGTAAAAATCACCTCTTCAACAAATGGTGTTGGGATATCTGAAGAGAGATATATGCAAAAAAAAGAAACTCAATCACCAACTTACACCATACACAAAAATAAATTCAAGATAAAAGACTTAAATGTAAGTCGTGGCACCATAAAAGTCCTAGAGGAAAACATCAGCTGGAAAATCTCAGACTTTCCACACAGCAACATCTTCATTGATATGTCCCATAAATCAAGGAACATAAAGGAAAGAATAAACAAATGGGACCTCATCAAATTAAAAAGTTTCAGTATGGCTAAAGAAAACAGCATTAAGACTCCAGCCAAGATGGAGGTATAGGTGGAAACATTGTGCCTCCTCATACAACCAAGTTTAAAGACAACAAAGTTTTAGAAACAAACACAAAGAAAATTGAACTGTACGGAAGTCCGACAACCATGAACCATTCATCCAGACCGGTAAGAGGGGCAGAGTCAGTGGCTGACGGAGAGGGGTCCTGGAAGGAAGAAGCGGTGACTGCTGGACTGCCCCAGATGCACAGGCAGCATGGTTGGCAGATCCCAGGTGTGGGGTAGCAATAGGCAGACCCAGTGAGGGCGCAAGGCGGCTGGCTGACAGTGGTCACACATTCATACTCAAGATAAACCAGGCAAAGGAGCGAGCAGTGTGACAGACTGTGCAGGCTTGGGCCCTAGTGACAGGAATTAAAGCCTAAAAGCACCAATTGGAAAAACTTTCGGGGTCGAGGTGTCGGGAGAAGCTCCCAGGCTCACAGAGAGCTTGTTGGAGACACCCACAGGATTATGGAGGGTGCACAGGCCCACACACCCAGAAGCTGGCACAGGGGCCAGGGGGGGGGGGTTGGCTTGCAGGAAGCAGCAGAGGGGACCAAGATCCAAGAGAGAGCAGAACAAACACCATTGCCCCTCTCTGAGCCCATCCCCACATACAGCATCACAACCCAGTGACTGGGTCGCCCCACCCTGGTGAACACCTAAGGCTCCTGTCCTCATATGTAACAGGCGCTAACAGACCAAAACATTATGGCTCAAGCAGAAAAAGAGCTCAAAGCCCCAGAGCCAATACTTCTAAGCAGCAAAGAGATAGCCAACCTATCAGATGCACAGTTCAAAACACTGGTGATCAGGATGCTCACAGAACTGGTTGGTTTTAGTCACAAATTAGAGGAACAAATGAAGGGAAATGCACAGGAAACAAATAGTGAAGGAAAGGAAACTGGGTCTCAAATCAAGGGAGTGGACCAGAAGGAAGAAAAAAATGACCAAACAGAAAAGGATGAGGAAACAGGAATTCAAAAAGATAAGGAGAGGTTTAGGAACCTCCAGGACATTTTTAAACGTTCCAACATCCAAATTGTAGGGGTACCAAAAGAAGAAGAGGAACAGCAACAAGTGGAAAACGTATTTGAACAAATAATAAAGGAGAACTTCCCCAATCTGGCAAAGGAAATAGACTTCCAAGAAATCCAGGAAGCTCAGAGAGTCCCAAAGAAGCTGGACCCAAGAAGGAACACACCAAGGCACATCATAATTACATTAGCCAAGATTAAAATGAAAGAGAGAATCCTAGAAGCAGCAAGAGATAAGGGGACTGTCACCTACAAAGGAGTTCCCATCAGACTGTCAGCTGATTTCTCAAAAGACCTTACAGGCAAGAAGGGGCTGGAAAGAAGTATTCCAAGTCAGGAAATCTAAAGACCTATATCCAAGATTGCTTTATCCAGCAAAGCTTTCATTTAGAATGGAAGGGCAGATAAAGTGCTTCTCACATAGGATCAAATTCAAGGAGTTCATCGTCACCAAGCCCTTATTATATGAAATATTAAAGGGACTTATTTAAGAAAAAGAAGATAAAAAAGATGAACAGTGAAAGGACAGCAAACACACAGTTATTAACAACCACACCTAAAACAAAAGCAAACTAAAAGGACAGCTAGATCAGGAGCAGAACCATAGAAATGGAGATCACATGGAGGGTTAGCAACAGGGGAGTGGGAGAAGGAGAAGGGGGAGAAGGTACAGAAAATAAGTAGCATAGATGGTAGGTAGAAAATAGATGGGGGGGCAAAAATAGTATGGGAAATATAGAATCTAAAGAACTTGAGACACATGGTCATAAACTAAAGGGGGGATAGTGGGGGCGGGATGTACAGAGTGGAGGGGAATGAAGGGGGAAATGGGACAACTGTAATGGCATAATCAATAAAAAGAAAAAAACCTTATACTGCAAGAAAAAAAGAAAAAAAACAGCATTAAAATGACAAGAGAACCAACTATATGGGAAAACATATTTTCCAGTGATACCTCGGACAAGGGTTTGATCTCCAAAATATATAAAGAAGTCACCTGACTCCACTGCAGAAGACACAAACCCAATTTAAAAAATGGGCAAAAGACTTGAACAGACATTTCTCCAAGGAGGACATACAGAGGGCCCAGAGACATAGAAAAGATGCTCAGCATCACTAGCCATCAGAGAGGGTTTTTTTTTTTTTAAGGGAAGTATGGATAGACCTGGAGAACATTATGCTAAGTGAAATGAGCCAGTCAGAGAAACACAAGTACCATATGATTTCACTTATGTGTGGAATCTAATGAACAAAATGAACTTAACAAAATAAAAACAGACCTATAGATACAGAGAACAGATTGACAGTTGTCAGTAGGAAGGAGTTTGGGGAGACTAGGTGGAAAAGGTGAAGGGATTAGGAAAGAAAGAAAAAACCTCATAGTTAACAGTATGGTGATTACCAGAGGGAAAGTAAGGTACAGGGAGGTAGAACATAGTAAAGTGGATGGGGGAGGGATAAATGGTGATGGGAGGAGACTTGGCTTGGGGTGGTGAACACACAAGACAATATATAGATGATGTATTATAGAACTGTATGCCTGAAACCTGTGTAATTCTCACCATTATCACCCCAATACAACAAAATTTTTAAAAAATAGGAAAGTATGGCTGGTGTATTACATAGAATGATGTGAGATAAGATTGGAGAGATAGGCAGAGGTGAGACCCCCATGATAAGGATTTTAGATATAATCTGAATATGATGAGTTGCTATTTAAAGTAGGGTTTTGAATAGCTGAGGAACATAGTCACATTTGTGTTTTAAAATGATTGCTCTGGCCACAATGGAGAAATAGAAGGGAGCAAGAGAAGCTGTGTAGAGAGAATGTTGACATGGACTTGGTTGGTGCTCATGGAGATGGAGGGGCAGATACAGGATGAAAATCATCAGACCGCATAAGGGCGGGGTTGGCCATGAAACTCTGGTCTAGTTTGAGGTATTTGGTTAGTGGTTCTATTCACGAGGCAGCCATGTTTGCAGGGGGAGATTTTAGATTTCAATTTTGGTTTTATTAGGTTTGTGGTATATATGAGACACTGCATGGAGTCACTGAGAAGGCAATTGAACATGTGGAAATGGAACTTAAGGCTAGCTATGCCCACGTCTAGGTTTCGTGTTTTATAATGAACTCTTCCACATCCAGAACTCATCGGAGTGTGGAATCAAGAGGAAATGAGTGCCAGTGTCTTCTGAGAAATCTTGACATCGGGTAATTTGCAAATAGATATTTTGGGAAATGTTGTCTCCACAAAGTGATGGTTCTTTTCTCACCACTTGATTTCAAGAACTGAGTTCCTGGATCTTGACAAAAGTATGTTTTATTATGTTATTTGTTGTTATAGATTGATCGTACTAAAAAACCGGCAGTCAAATTGCCTGAAGATCATAGAATAAAATCTGAAAGCACAGATCATGAGCAACAGTCTCCTCAGAATGGAAAAATTCCTGATCGTTCCACAAAGCCAGTACTTCCCCCTCCAACTGCCATGTTAACAGATGAAGAAAAAGCTCGTATTCATGCAGAAACTGCTCTTTTATTGGAGAAAAACAAACAAGAAAAAGAACTTCGAGAAAAACAACAAGAGGAACAGAAAGAGAAACTGAGGAGAGAAAAACAGGAACAAAAAGCCAGAAAGAAACAGGAAGCTGAAGAAAATGAAATCACGGAGAGGGAACAAAAGGCAAAAGAAGAAATGGAAAAGAAAGACAGTGAACAGGCCAATAAAGAAGATAAAGAAACCTCGGCAAAGAGGGGCAGAGAAATAACAGGAGTGAAAAGACAATGTAAAAGTGAACATGAAACTACTGATGCCAAGAAAGCTGTGGATGAGAAGGGGAAAAGGTGTCTAACCCCTGAAGTGCAAAAAAAGTCAATGAGCGATGTGCCCCCTGCCTCCGTGGCAGGAGATTCAAGTTTAGGCAAGGTAAGCGGAAACAAACAGTATAAATTGCCAACTAAGTGAAATAAAATGTACATAAAAACATGAAACCAGTAGCATTACATACACAGGGCAAGCATTTCAAGTAGTTTTCTAGAGGGCTATAGATTTGTACTGATACATCTACATTTTGCTCGCCAACTCTCCTTCGATTGGTTGGTAATGGAATTGCTCTTTGTGTCAGTGAAATGCAACATATTTTTAATAATTGGAATGAATGGCTACATTCTTTTTATTTTTGATATATAATCAGAAGACTAGAGTGGAATATTATCTTTATTTTAGTGTGGAGGAATTAGGCGCCCAATATTTATATGATCGTGTTTGTATCTGCTTAGAATATGTCCAGTGACAAATTGTCATTTTGTTTGTTGGTTCATGTAATCAAGAGTATTGGCAACAACCCAGTTAATGTTGATTTTCTCTGCCTGGGCTAGCCCCCAAAATTGATTTCTGTAACTACCTTTTGTCAATTTTTTTCTCTATTATTTTTTGTTGATTTTTTTCTTTATTATGCAATTAACAATGCCTTTCCCTTTTGAACCCTAAATAAGTCTTTATAGTAGCAGGAATAGTTAGAACCCTGCTGTGTACATGTAAATGGAAATACATTTTAGGCAGTGTGAAAATTACTTTCGATGGAAGGTGGAACACCATATTGCAGGTCATTAATTTCTGTACACCTCAAGCAGCAGTTCGGGCCTATACCAGATATAACAATTCTTATTAATGCTTCATGGATCCAGGGAACACTAATCAGGTAGCCTTAGCTATCAAAAAATATAGTTACCATACAAACACCTTTCTAAACGCCCAGAGTTAGGGAAATGAAGCTCATGTACTAATTTATTTATAGGGGAATCAGAACTCATGTGCTCTTTTAATTTACGTATTACTCATTGTGTATCTCCTATATGCCCGTATTTTCCCTGTATTATCTTACTTGCTCCTCCTAATGCCAACTCCATGAAGTATTCAATTTACAAATTAAATCGAAGCTTAGAGGTTAAATAATTTGCCTTAGATCGCAAATGGAGTGAGATTCCAAAGTCACTTCCTTTCCATCTTGCTGTACTTAGAGGAAGGCAGTCATAAAAACTTAAAGTGTTTATATTTCCGAGGTCATTCAGTAGTACACGTGCTAAATACTCCTACAGGGTCTAAATAACCCTGAGATTATCACATATGTTTGATTTGTCTTATAACACACTGAAAAAGTTAAGATTGCATTCACTGTATTCTCCTTAAAAGGAGCAAAATATGTAATTTATTCTGGAATGTATTTTATTAAAATTTACACTTTTTTTTACTTTACTGTAGTTATTTTTTAAATGTATTATAAAACTGAAGTGAAATTTTAAAAGAAACTGTGGTAAGTTCATACGAGGTTTAACAGAAGTAGCCATGGTGAGTTACACTGATGACCAGTATCTTGTACTTCGCCACAGATTATAAATCAGAGCTTCACAGCCCACTGTGACTTGTATCATTTTTTTTTTATCCTACTGATTTATCAAAGTTTTTTTAGTTCTTTAGACTTAGTATTAGGGTTTGCCACATGTGCTCTAACCACCTTTAATTTAAAAGAATCTGCTTTGATAGTAAAATTGTGTCATTTTCAGAGGCCTCACTTTTTTCTCCTTTTACATTTTCGGTCTGATGGATTTGCTTATATCAGCTAGTGATGGGTAGGTGTGTATTAGGGGAAAATAAAATGTTTTTCCCCCTTCTGAAATCTTAATAATTTTACGGCCTGTTAAGATTAAAGGACAGCCAGAAAGTGGAATTCTAAAGACTGGAACTATTAGAGAGAATACAGATGAGACTGAAAGAAATAAAGTAAGTAGTTCCTTGGGCGGGAAAAAAACATGGACTATAACCATGTGATTATCATTTTAATGAATAAGAGAATGAATGATGCTGTATCATTCATTCTGCATCTTAAGATCTACTCTCTGAGGGAATCTTTGCAATGTTTGGTAGTTGATTTGTGTTTGTTTTTACATGATTTTATGCTTCCTATTTATTTTATAAAATGCATATACTATGCATTTAATGAAATTAAAAAATAGGTTTTATTATATGATCCAGTAATACCACTTCTGGATGTATACCCAAAGGAATTGAAAGCAGGGCCTCGAAGAGCTATTTATACGTTGATTTTTATAGCAGTATTACTCACAGCATTGACAAAATATGAAGCAGATCCATCCATCAACAGATGAATGTATAGACAGATGTGGTGTCTACAAACAACGGAGTATTGCTCAGCCTTAAAAAGGAAGGAAATTCTTTTTTCTTTTTTCCACATTGTCTGGTATTTGTGGTAGTTATTGTTACTTCAAAAGTAAGGAAATTCTGACACATGGTACAACATGGATGAACTTTGAGGACGTTACGCTAAGTGACATAAGCCAGTCACTAAAGGATGAAAACTATGATTCCATTTACGTAGTATACCAGGAGCTGTCCAATCCATGAAGGCAGGAATTAGAGTGGTGATTGGCAGGGTGTCAGGATGGAGGGGGTGGGCACAGAATTTCGGTTTGGCGAGATGAGAGTTCTGGAGATCAGTGGCACAACAGTGTGAGTATACTCATGCCACGTAACTACTCTTAAAAATGGGTAAGATGGTAAATTTTCTGTGTATTTTTATAACAATTTTTTAAATATTTAGGCCTTTTATGAAACATCTCTGCCTTTGTTTTAAGAGCTTTATTTAAGTATAATATGCATACCATAAAACCCAGTTTAGAGTACAATTCAGTGATTTCAGTTCAGAGTTGTGAAACAGTTATTCATTCAATCTAATTATAGAACATTGCCATCACACCAAAAAGATCTCTGTGCCAGTTGTAGTCACTCCCTCTTCCTACCCTCAGACCCCAGCAACCATCCACTCTCCATAGATACAGCTCCTGGGCATTTTGTATAAATGGAATAATTTTATATTTTATATATATAATTTATATAGGGGGGGGTGTGTGTGTAAAGTCTTTTGTATATGTCTTTTTTCATCCAGCACAATTTTTTGAGATTCATCTCTGTTGTAGCACATAAACCTGTAGTTTATTCCTTTGCATTGCCAAGCAGTATTCCCTCGGGTGGGTGTACCACGTTTTATTCATCCATTGATAGACATTTGGGTTGCTTCTGCTTTGGGCTGTTGGGAACAGTGCTGCTGTGAACATTTGCATACAAGTATTGTCTGGAAATAATGTTTTCATTCCTTCAGGGTTGATACTAGAAGTAGAATTATCTTTGTTTTGTCCTTTTAGGAAACTTTTGAAGACTGCTGTCATTATAGGCTTGTGCACAGACAGTTCCTCTTCCCCTTCCTATGATAGTTGGGCTGTGAGAAAGTAGATATATAATTCTTCATGTTTGAGCTTGTTGTAAAAAAGTAAGGATAGCCAACACAGGCTTTTGGTTCTCTGGTACAAGTGGCTTAAGTTTGTATATGACAAAATTTAATTGAAAAATCAGGTTTTTTTCTTATATTAAATTAGGCTCGAGAACCTTTGACGAGAGCACGAAGTGAAGAAATGGGGAGGATCGTACCAGGACTGCCTTTAGGCTGGGTCAAGGTAAAACTCAAAATTAGCACAGAAATAAGTAACATGATCATTGTGTTATTTTTTTAAAAAGAGGGTTTTTTGTTTTGTTTTTGTATTCTACATCTTCTGCAATACAGTCAGTTCTGTTTCTTATTATAGAGGACATAGCTCATTTCCCTAACCACAGCAGGTTAGATTTCTGAATATCCAGTCTGGGATGCTGGCTGTAATATGTAAGCATCCCTGGCATTTGCCATTTAGAAACAATGTATTACTTTAAAACCTTAAATCCTTTGGAAGTTTAATTACAGAATTCATTATCACCATTTTATTCAAATGATGTCAATCCAAAAGCTAATTTAGCAGTGGAATACTTTTGAGTGAGTTTTTTGTACATGTAATGGTCATTGTTTTGAGGGGGGGGTTTTGACCTGTTTTTTGTTTCTTGTTTTTCCAACCAAGTTTCTTGATCCGATCACTGGAACTTTTCGTTATTATCATTCACCCTCCAACACTGTTCACATGTATCCACCGGAAATGGCTCCGTCGCCTGCACCTCCGTCCACCCCTCCAACTCACAAAGCCAAGCCACAGGTTCCAGCTGAGCGGGACAGGGAGCCGTCCAAACTGAAGCGCTCCTACTCCTCCCCAGATATAACCCAGGCCATACAGGAGGAGGAGAAGAGGAAGCCAACACCTACTCCACCAGTTAACCGGGAAAACAAGTACGTTAGTCCTAATTCCTAAAATTAGAATAATCTGCTATATTTGAAGTTACTCTAAACATACCAGCTTATTTATGTCAGGGAGTCAGAAATTTCTGCGGGTGGCTACACCAGCCATTGTTATTTACCAGAGAGGGAAAAAGAAATCACTGGATTAAAATGTCCTTGGTTTTTCTCCCAAGTGCTAACTTAAGTATGTCAGAGAAGACTATCATAAGTATTAATGTAGATATAAAGGTATACATGTTACTATGTTTTAAGACAGTGTGCCATAGACTACCTAGAACTTTTCACAAACTTCGTAAATCTCCCTTTGAGGACCATAATTTATAGGCTTGTTGAGTTTGCCTTAGTGCAGCTCTCAAATTCTAAACTTTTTTTGAGTTAGCCATTAATAGGGGGGCAAACGTACATAGCATTAAAATAACAAGCATTGTACTGTGTATCAGATCCTGATCCTTACTCTGTTCCCCTTTCCTTCACTGCACTTCTGCTATTCTCTTTACATGTAGTGATCAGTAGGTCCATGTAAGTTTCCCCAAACAGTATTTCATTTAAATGTGTTTGTGACTTTATCCCTTTTTGAATTCTCAAATGGCTCTGGCTCGTGACTGATAGGGTTTTGAGGTGAAAATTTTTAAGTCCACTTACCACTTCTAAACTTGACCTTTTCGGGGAGGGGAATGGTTGGAAGTGTCAGTACAGCAGTACCTCAGTACTTGTCATTAATTCATTCAGGAACTTGTGATTAGTGCCGTAACCGATAAGTTGAGAACAATGAAGCATTTTCTCTTGTGGGGCGGCATCGTCACTCATGCAAGTTCTAGCAAGTACGGCAAGTCCCGAGCAATTGCTGAACGCTAAAACATTTTTTTCTCCTCAAAATGCGACAAGTATAGGGTTTGACAAGTTTTGAAGCCAGCAAGTGAGTAGTGAGGTGTGACTGTTAATGGCAGTGGCTTGTTTTCCTGTTTATAATGTACATCCTCTTGACGGCCAAGGAACTTCAGCTAGGCAATCTTTTTGGACTGTCTGGTAATATTTCCCCAAAATGTAGTTGATACATATTACTTCTGAGAATTTACCCTGCCAATTAGGGAATTATGTGGAGTTTTTTTTCTTTAATCAATAAATCTAGTTACAGATTTTAGGGCTTCCTATTAAAACTGGTGAGATTTAATTCCTTCTTGCATCATCATTCTTAACAAAATTTGTTAATTTGACACTTTTAAAAAGTATCACATATGCAGTTTATGTATTTTTATATACATTGAACAGAGAAAGAGTTCATGTTCATGGGTGCAAACACCTGGACACGTGTGGAAAAAAAAAGCCAACTGCAATATAGTTCAGCCCTGACTGGTGTGGCTTAGTCGGCTGGGCATCATCCCACAGAGCAAATTCCCAGTCAGGGCACATTCCTGGGTTGCGGGTTCAGTCCCTGGTCGAGGTGCATATGAGAGGCAGCCGGCCTGTTTCTCTTTCACATAGACGTTTCCGCCCCTCTCCGTCTCCTTCCCTTCTCTCTCTAGGATTGTGACTGATGTAAGTGAGGAGCTGGATTTCTTAAAATTTTAAATATCCATAACCACCTATGGCATATTCGTCACCAGTGCTCTTGACTTCAGGGAATAGTATCCAAATAACTTCCTGCCTCCTTTGATCTGCTCCACAGTAGTATACAGGAGTGGGCAAAAGTGGGTTTACAGTTGTGACTATGCAAAACGCAAGAGTTTTTATATAATACAAGAGTTTCTATTCTTGTATTATTATTTACTTACGTACTATTTTCCATATGAGCTGTAAACCTACTTTTGCCCCCACCCCTGTGTGTGTATAAAAATAATCCCTTTTTTGGCATTCTGTTGAGTTTGACACTTGGTAATACTAAACTTACCAGGATCATTTAAAGGAGTTTGAAAGAGCCTTCTTTACTTAAGGCCTCTACCTGTTCATGAGAAGGCAGAGAACCTATCTTACGATGTCTGTAAGAACCATGGACCCGCATAACAGGTTAAAGGTATCTGTTTCTTGGGAAGGTCACAGAATATGTCATGTAGATACTAAATGTTCTGTAAGACCTAGTAACTTATGAGTCAACTTATTAACACTTTACAAGTTTACTACTGTGTACTACGGTACACATGCTGGAGTTTGTTGCCATTTGTAATTTGAACTTTATTTTCACTTGCTGTGTATTCTAAAACATCTTGCACACTTTTTCTTTCTCAGGCCCACATGCTACCCTAAAGCTGAGATCACAAGGCTTTCTGCTTCTCAGATTCGAAACCTCAATCCTGTGTTTGGAGGATCTGGACCAGCTCTCACTGGACTTCGTAATTTAGGAAATACTTGTTACATGAACTCAATACTGCAGTGCCTATGTAATGCTCCACATTTGGCTGATTACTTCAACCGAAACTGTTACCAGGATGATATTAACAGGTAAAGAAATTTCTTACCTTTTGCAATATAATGTTAAAAGGGTGATGTAACTATCCAGCTCCTTCCAGAGAAGTCAGATTAGGAAAGGCAAAAATACTTTTACTACACTAAAACTGTAGTGTAACTACATTTTTCTTAAGATGTAGAGAAAAGCCTGATTGGTAAAGGACAGACAGGAAAGGAGCAGTGCAAGGACCTTACTGCCGCAAACTGGGGCCGGTTGGTGACAGAGAGAGAGTGCAGGGTTGGCATCAAAAGGAAGCGCGGTGGGGGAGTGTAATCGGAGTAGGGTTTGGTAGAGTCCCAGGTAGTAAACCCATGAATAAGCATCGTAGCGTAGGGGTGTAGTATGTCCATAGTTTAATGTTGACATCGAGAATCCACTGTCCTTGACTTTTTACAATTCCTATATTGCTTTTGTACCTTTATTTGCCAAGGTCAAATCTGTTGGGGCATAAAGGCGAAGTGGCAGAAGAATTTGGCATAATCATGAAAGCACTGTGGACAGGACAGTACAGGTATATCAGTCCGAAAGACTTTAAAATCACCATTGGGAAGATCAATGACCAGTTTGCAGGGTACAGCCAGCAAGATTCACAAGAGCTGCTTCTATTCCTAATGGATGGTCTGCACGAAGATCTAAATAAAGTAAGAAATTTGATTTTTAAAAATTGTTAAGACTCTTTAGCATTGCTCAGCACTGTAATCATTTTGTAAAATAGTGGTATATTTATTAGTTTTTAAATATTGATCGTATGTACCCTGACTGTGGCGCAAACTGGTACTGTTGGTATATCAGGACCACACTCCACCCAACTGAGCTACCCAGCCAGGTGTGTGATCATTTTTACAGTGATTTAAAATTATGGTTGGTGTTTGTTTATGTCTAGTGACTTTGTACTAAGGTGTGGAGCTATAAAACACTAATCTGATAGGTCTGGTATTTAAAACGAAGCATATAGGATTTGTATTTACTCACCAAAATGTTACCAAGTATGACTATATTTTATCAGTGTTAAAACAGTTGTTGGAGATACTGTGTTTGTGATCTACATGTATATGAAAGGAAACAGGATTTTAGAAAAGATTAGCTATAGACAGCCTGAACTTCCTGTTATGTTTATATATTATATGTATACTTAGCATAATCTACATGTATTTTATCTTCTTATATTTTTTTCCTGAAATAAGAATTACTCCATGTAACCACATTGAGTCATGTATCTCTACATAAATGACTGTTTAAGTACTACGGAGGCTTTTTAGCACCAGGCTTCCCCCTCTTTTGCATGCCTTTGAGGTCTTCCACTGAGAATACACACACACGTGTATGTACGTGAATATGTATTTAGTGTGTGTCCATCCCTGAGACTAGAACAACAAAATCATGTCTGTCTAGTTGGAACTGCCTGTGGCATGTCTTATCTTTTTAAATAAAAATTTATTAAGCAATTCCCCTAAGTTGTACCCTTTTGATAAAATGAGGTTTTGGTTTCTTAGGAGGCTTTTTTGGCTAGAATTATGTAGTATTTAATGATATTAAAACGCCTTTATGAAAAGAATCTGAAGTGTTTCTGAATCTGCAAACTGTCTGTATTTAGTATATTTTTCAATTTTATATTTAAATGCTGACTTTGAGATATTAATACAGAGTTTAAAAAATCTTATTTCCAGGCCGATAATCGGAAGAGGCATAAAGAAGAAAATAATGATCATCTTGATGACTTTAAAGCAGCAGAATATGCTTGGCAGAAACACAGGCAGCTCAATGAATCTATTATTGTTGCACTTTTTCAGGGTCAATTCAAATCCACAGTACAGTGCCTCACCTGTCACAGAAAGTCTAGGACATTTGAGGCCTTCATGTACTTGTCTCTACCACTAGCATCCACAAGTAAATGTACATTACAGGTACGTTTATAACAGAGGAAATGATTTGTGGAATAAAAATGCTGTTTATACACAAATAGAGATACACTTTTTTCAGCAATTTCTGTTGTTTACCCCTATAAACATTTTACAGGTAAAAATCACACATAAATTGTTTTAATTAGACCTGTGTAGACAAAAAAAAATTCCCCAAACCAGCATTTTTTTTAAAGATACAAAAGTTTCTTATTAACTATGCTTTCAGAGTTGCTAAGTAATGGGTTTTTTAGAAAGTTTGTATTCTGAAGAAGTTTTTCCCCCCACAAATGTAGTCTGCTATTCAATCTGGGCTGCCACACACACAGACAGAAAGCACAGGGATTTTTTTCTTTCCCATCCCAGTGCAAACCAGAAGAACAGTGTTAGATTGTTCAAGGTCTGTCAGTGGATACAAAATGAAGAAGTTTTTTAAGTGAACTTGGAAATTGTATGTTGACTCTAGTTTAGGTATGCTTTTCATAACAATTTGCTTTATGTGGGGATATCAAATATTTTGTTTTCCACACCCCAGCAGTGCGGTGTAGATCGCTTGTTGATCCTTTCATGCTAACTTCCTGAGGATGCCATTGCTTCCACCAAGGCTTCCTTGGGCCCCCAGGTAGAGGTGTGTGCCCTCGGGAGACACAGTGCTTCTCCCGTCACCATAGGTGCACTCGCCACACTCCGGTGCCATTTCGGACTCGCTCTGCGTTCCTCACCAGATCACGAACTCTGCCAGGGCGAGAATGGTTTTTGTGCTAGTTACTGTTGTGTCCTTTGCGCCAGGCAGAGTAACTTATGAATAGATGCCTAATGGCTCTGTGTTGAAGGAATGAATCATGAGTATCTACTGCTTCTCTCTGCCTTCCAGGATTGCCTTAGGTTATTTTCCAAAGAAGAAAAACTCACAGATAATAACAGATTTTACTGCAGTCATTGCAGAGCCCGAAGGGATTCTCTGAAAAAGATAGAAATCTGGAAGTTGCCGCCTGTGCTTTTGGTGCATCTGAAACGGTAAAGGGCAAGAATTTTTCTACTTGCTTAGTACAGTTTAGATGAAGGGACTCTACATCCTTCCTTCTGGGTCACGTGTGGCACTGCCTACTAAGGATGTGCAATCAAGGAAGCTTTACTGGTTAGGATATCTCCAGGGAAATAGGGCAGAAATAATGAGACTCCAGTTCAGCTTAGTGTTTGCAGTAACAGAGCAAAATGACAGCACCAGTCTTTCTGTCTTTAAAAAGTAATGTAATTCTGTCTTTAAAAAGTCAGTGAAACCGAGTTATGCCATTTCTAATATAAAAATTGTAAGTCATCACAAAACATCAAAAAATATATTAAAATGTTATACAGTGTAACTCTAACACATTAGCAGGTAAAAAATTCTCAAACACTGAACTAAACATAAAAAAGATTTCATCTTATGCTGAAAATGAAATATGATTGTTTAAAGCATTATTTTAAAAGTAAAATTTTAAGGACGATATTGTTGAGTGCAGGCGTAGTTTTGTGCAAACTGTTCCAGCCCGTGAAGAACATCAGGCGTGTTGTAGTAGCAGGAGCAAAGGGCGGGGGTTGTGAAATGCGTGTTGGGTCTTTTGCTGTGATTTTTCTGCTTTTATGTAATCCATGTGTGGAGTGGTATCTGAGTCTTTTTTTTTTTTTGAAAAACTTTTAAAAAGAAGATTCCGTCTTTTTATTGAGAGCTATAATTTTTGTTTCATCTTGTACTGGAGATTCTTAGGCAGCCATGTTAATTTTAACATTGACTAGTTCAAATTGCCATTGTGTAAATTTTCTAACAAAATTTGTTCTATCAGTTGTCCTTTTCTTCTTGAGGATAGTGGAGGTGAACACTACAGAAACAATTACACATTTGTTCTGTGGAAGTTTTTAATGCTGTGTGCTACTCTTAAGAGAGTATCTAAAAATATAAAAGGTTCAGAATTCAGATTTTTAAAAATAATTCTGAAATAACCATATTACACCAACCAAAACACCAGTATTTTGGTATTCGAGGAGCAGAGTAATTCCAGGGTAACGGAATGACATTGTTTCAGTCACTCGTCTCCATGCTTGCGTTTTCAAGCTTGCGTTTTCAAGCTCTCGTTTCCCCGAAAGTGCAAGCTTAAATTTGAGCAACTCTCCTCCAGTGCTTCCTCTGTACTTTTGTAGTGACTGGCATCATAAACGTTGGTTTTCAGAACTTGGTACTTTGACAGAGGATGCATCTAACAGGTCTAGCCAGTCCAGGGGTTAAAGGACCAAGGTGTGGTCCTGTCTCAACCACTCCAGCGGTTTGATTTTGGGAAGCCACTCGGTACGCGTGCACCTCAGATTCCTCACTTGTAAAATGGCAGTGAAACCCAATGTTTTTAAGAGGTCTCTCCACCATTAAAATTCTGGGTGTGTGACTGAAATGGCTCCCATGGTCCTGGCTGAAAATGTAGATGGTTAATAAACGAGTTAGGGTTCATTCTGGTGTCTCTGATCGGTCCCGTAATTGCTGTGGTGCTTGGCTCCACAGCTTTTCCTACGACGGAAGGTGGAAACAGAAGCTGCAGACATCTGTGGACTTCCCGTTAGAAAATCTTGATTTGTCCCAGTACGTTATTGGTCCAAAGAATAATGTGAAGAAATACAACTTGTTTTCTGTTTCAGTAAGTATGTCATTAAACCGAATATCTTTTCTCTCAAAACAGACTAAAAATAGTAAGTTTCAAATGGGTCCTTATCTCAGAGGAAAGAAAGGAAGAACAACATAAGCTTTGAAATTACTATTGACATATTTTAAACTCAATTTGAATTGATTTTCTGTTTTGTTTGGCACAGAACCACTACGGTGGTCTGGACGGAGGCCACTACACTGCGTATTGTAAAAATGCAGCAAGACAGCGGTGGTTTAAATTTGACGACCACGAAGTTTCTGATATCTCCGTTTCTTCTGTGAAATCTTCAGCAGCTTACATCCTCTTTTATACTTCTTTGGGACCATGAGCAACTGAAGTAGCCACGTAAGAAGAAGTAGATTATGAGCTAGTTATCTTTTAAAAGGCTGAGCTATACAACTCTGAAAATGCTTGTAAAGATACCGGGTAGCTATAGCTGGCCATTTAGAGGAATTCTAAGACCGTGAGAGCTATGTTACTGTTACCATATATTCCAGGTCAGTGCTATTATCAAAACACTGACTAGTAACATTTAACAAGTATTGCAGTAAACACTTCTTAGAGGTACCACTTATTTCAAAACGTTTTGAGTTTGCTCCAAAATTGAAATAATTAACTAGCTAAGCATTATTATTCTGTTCATCTAAAAATCACATATCCTTTCCTTTCATTCTCACTGTTACGGCCTTTCACCTCTCTGATTCTCAGCTTGATCTGTGAATACCCTAGAATGACGTAAAGCAGATAGGAATGTACGTGTATATATTTATTGCACACTTGCACATCAGATCGATGCACACATAGCATAATATGTGGTCCTTTTGTGAAACCTAGAACTCAAAGGATTCCTCTTATTTTTTTCTTTAGGCCTATTCTGAGTAACTGCAGTGCTTTCTTAGGGAAATGACAGGGCAAAGCTATTTTTCTTTCGGCTTTGGGCTGTATTTGTGCACTGAATCTTTATTCTAAAAAAAATAAATGGAAACTTTTCTTTAATTTTTTAAAATGAGAATTTTCATTTACACTTAACATTAAAATCCTAATGAGAAAAATAATTTAAAATACTGTACGTGTTCTGTCTTTAATTTGTATGATCAAATATAGGACAGTAGAACTGTAGGTTTTATGCGCACACGCACACACACTTTATTCCACTAGTGACTTAAAATTTCATTTGCTTACCCTGTTGGCATCAGGACTCAATCCCACTTTTCCTTCAACTCTACCCGGACTGCATGTAGCACTTACGGTTCTCAGAGTCGGGAGTCACAGTAAGAAACAGGACTGAGAGTCATTCTGTCGAGGGTAGTAGAAACCTTGTGGTTAAGGTAAAAAGGACTAGGAGTGAGGCGTGACTGCGAAATGAACTGCAGTAGGAACCACATCTTCACAAAGCGTTATATTAAAAGAAGTAGAGGAGCTTAGGGTTTATCCTTTACCTCGGAGACTCAGTTGCTTCACATGAACTCGGTGAAAACACTCCAAGGGCGCTTCTGAAAGGTGTCACCACTGGGGGACGCTCAAGCAGAAGATGAAAGGAGGGGTTTGGAATACCGAAGTTGACAGCTTATCATGTTCAGCAGTTAGTCTAAGAGACATAGCTTCTTGGCTAAATTATCCAGTTAGATAGTTTTCAGTCACATTCTTAGCTCACAGAGCCACTTGGACAAAAGTTATTTTTGTTCCATTACGTATCTTTGGGAAATAATTTGTGGGATATATCTATGCACATATATATAATTATGAGATACTTTGATAAAAATCTACCCTAATAAACATTGAATTTTGAAGCTTGAATTTACTATGTAACCTGTAGCACTTTTCTAAGCCCTTGGCCATTAGCATTGCGTTATGCTCATTCTGCCTTTTTCAACGTGCAAGGACCCACCTTCTTGGCTATAGGCTTACTTATATAAGGTTGCACATATGCCAGAAGGAAAAATAACACTGATGCAAGTAAGTTGCAAGAATTTAATAAAGCAAAACTTAAGTGCTAGTTTCTGATTGCTTGTTTTGCAACTTTCAGGAAACACCACTTTCCTAGCTCATGCATCTTTCTATAGGTATAGAAAAGGGCTGGCAGCTATAAAACAGGAGATAGGCTGTAGCAGTTTGAACCGAAGTATCTGGAATCTCACTGACTCGTGTATCGTCAAAGCTGAACCAGGCTTGGGTCACTGAGTTCTTGCAGAAAGCAGTGTAGTGGCCACCGTCCAGATCGCCAAAGTGGTTCTAGGGAGGAAGGAGGGCAGGCTCAGTATTCTCATGCAGGTCATCTGATGTGGGGAGCGAGAAATACTCTTCATAAGTGTCCCTTACACTAAATTGAAAGGAAATGGTAATTGTGTTCAATTGAATCATACATCTAGCTTGACCTATATTGTTTCTCATTTTACTGAACTTCTTATATATTGTACCCATTGACTACTTACTAGAATCTGAATGAAATAGGATAGCACTTGACTGATACTTACCAGTTAATACTGAGCACTTATTATATATACGTAGACTATTAAACATCAAATGAAATTAAAAAATAAGATAGTCATCTTTCCTAAGTGAGCTTATAGTATAACTTTGAAGATGGGCTAAAATAGGCGTGAAAAAAGACATGTGACATTGGAACCAGACATCACTACAGCTGCAGGTTGCTGCCATACGGTGCGAGGGCGTGCGGCAACCCCCCCCCCCCCCCCCCAAGAACCTGTCCCTTCTTCCCTGTCTTCACTGACCCGGAGGCACTGGAAGCTGCCCTTCCCAGGCGGTGGCAGAGTGCAGAGCAGGGGCTGGCAGACTGTGGCCACGGGCCGCATCCAGCCTGCTGCTCGTTTTGTATGGCCTGTGAGTTGAGAATGCATTCTATATTTTTGTATGGTTGAAAAAAATCAAAAGATTATTTTGTGACATGTGAAGAGCCTATGAAACTTAGATTTCAGTGTCCTTAAATAAAGTTTTATGAGAACACAGCCATGCTCATTCATTCTCTTGTTTCTCACTGGCTGCTTTTTTACAACAATAGGAAAACAGCTGCAGGAGAGACCGTACAGCCTGCAAAGCCTAAAACATGTGCTGCCTGGCCTTTTACAGAGTAAGTTGCTGAGCCCTGGTGTTAAAGGAAAAAAATATTTTTTGTAGCCAGTTTTGACTGAATTCAGGTCTGCTGATAAGGACCTTAAGGAAGTTATTTAACCACTCTGAGCTTTAATTCCCCCATCTGTTTAAATGGGGTAATAAGATTGGTCTCATAGCCATTGTCAGGTATCTCCTATCGCAGGGCGAGCTCACAGCAGGAACTTACTAAGTGTTCCCTAGACCTTCATCTCCTCGGCCCTGGCAGCGTTGTCCAACCTGTGGCCTGCAGGCCACCTGCAGCCCAGGATGGCCGTGAATGCGGCTCAGCACAAAATCGTAAATTTACTTAAAACAAGATCTTTTTGTGATTACATGTCACGGTGTATTGAATTGTGGCCCAAGACAACTCTTCTTCCAGTGTGGCCCAGAGACGCCAAAAGGTTGGACACCCCTGTTAGAGAAATATTCCAAAACTGACTATGAAAAGACCTCGTCCTGGTTCTTGCCACGTGACCTTAAGTTGACATGCTTCAGTTTCCTTATTTATAAAATGGTGCCCATAATAGTGTGATATAATTTGAATGAAAAAAGAAAATATCTGGTGGATAAGTGGTGCCCAGACAATGAACTAATGTTCTGAAGTGATCAGACAGAACTGGAGTATAGTATTCAGTTTTGATGATTTAGTGTAAAAAAAAGAATATGGTCAAGTACTTAAAAAGACTTCCATTTCCAGGAATTATGGGAGATAATTAACCTGAGAGCCTTAGTTGTAAAACTAAGGAATGCTAGATAAAACAGGGTAAATACCCTTTGACCTGTATGGCTGACTTTAAAGATTTTTCAGTAAGAGTAAACCCCAGGGGCCAGAACCACAGGAAATAAGTAGCATGATGTGTGGTTGACGCTGTGACTGCCTCAGAGTGAAGATAACTTCTGGTGTCCGTAACCAGGATGCTTCAGTTTTAAAGATCACACAAGGACAGGAGGTAAAGGCTTAGGTCCCCTCGAGGTGAGGGGTTGGACTGAGGTCCACACACATAGCCAGGACTCTAGAGAATCACCCTCAGTAAAAGGATAAATTAGGGAGGGGCGAAGTCCCATCTTTTAGTGCTTGTCTTAGCTTAGGCTGTGGACTACAGAGCAGAAAAGTCATTTCTAGAAATGTGTTAACACATACTGTGGTTTGAGAATCCTGTGAATCTAGTGTGAGAAGTAATTTGTGGGTGCCAGGCAGGAGGAAAAAGAATGCCTGGATTGATGCATCATAATTTAGGCTGCACAGGGTACCCACATATATAAAACCCTAGCGACCTTGAGCTCACTATTCAAAATTACAGAACACGTGGAAACAATTCACCATGAGAAAGAGTCAGAAGGCAATAGATGCCAAGATTAAACCCCAAGGGCTTCAGAGAATGGAATTATCAAATGGAGACTACGAAGAACATTTAAAATTATTATAGACAAGGGGCAGAAGTTAACTTTTAAAGTTAACTTTAAAAGAACTAAGTAGAACTTTCAGAAATGAAAAATGTACTATTTTCAAATTTAAAATTTAGTGTAGAGATGCGAGTCCAAGATGGTGGCCACTGAGCTTGCCACCTCCTGAGAACACACAATGTACACCAATATTAGATCCACTCCTCCTGAGAGACAATTGAAGGCCCATTGAACAGCTTCTGCAGGAGAAATGAGAGTACGCAGAGAGAAGGTAGGGGGGTCATAAGAGCTCTCCGGAGCTGAGAGACCACTGACTGCCACTGTTTACCTTTACCCTATGCTTGGGTAGAGGGTGGGAGTTGTAGCCACATCCTCTGGTCCACCTGCAGGGCTGCTATTGTGCATCCCTAGCCATTCCAACAGGAAAAACAAGGTGCCATAGTGCACGCACAGGACTCCTCCACCTGGAGATCAACGCCCTCCCCCACCCTGCATGGCAGGGAGCACACTGGGCTCCCCCACCAGAACGAGTGCAGAAGTAGCAGCGTGCTGCGGTTCCTGCATGCAGAGCTGCCCCCTCCTGATAAACTGCAAAGATGGGGGTACTGCTGCATGACCACAGAGGGATGCCTCATCCGGAGAAAGTGTGGAACTAGTGGGGCACTGCTAAGCACATGCAGGACTGACTTGGCCAGAGAAGATGCAAAAGTAGCAAAGTGTGGTGCATACACAGCTGCCCTGCCCCAGAGGAAGTGAAAGTAGTAGGGCACTGCCACGTCCCACTCAGGGAAGCCCTGCTCAGGCCTGGCTTGAGCACAGCAGGCAGCCCCACCCAGCTTGGAAGGGCATACACAGAAGGCTGCCCTTCCTTGACTCCATTCTGGCTGTGGACGGCCAGAATAATAGGAGCTACTGCACGTGTGTGCACCAGACTGCCATGCCTGGAACCCTTCCCTCTGGTTAGGAGGCACACCAGGTACCACACATACCCCCCCTCATTACAACGGAACAAAGGCATGCAGCAGTCAACAGGCCACTGTTTCAAGACCGGGAGAGAGAGCTACTTTTAACTCGTAGGAAGAAACACAGAACGTCAGACAAAATGGGGAGACAGAAGAATTTGCCCCAAATGAAGATACAAGAAAAAAACCTTAGTGAAATGGAGATAAACAGTGTGCCTGAAAGAAACAACGAAATAAAGAACAGGCTGATGGTAACCAAAGGGGTAGGAGGATGATGGGGAAAATGGGTGAAGGGTCATCAAGGAACAGTATAAAGGACACATGGACAAAGCCAAAGGGAGCAGGATCAAGGGCAGAAGGGCAGGAATTGGTGTGGCAGGGAGTTGGGTGGGGGTGAATATGAAGACAACTATACTTGAAAAACAGCTTTTAAAAATTCAGAGGCAGGTGCGGAGCACTGGGGGGGTGGGCTGGGATGGCAGTAAAAAACAGAAAACTGTACTTGAACAATAATTAAATAAATTTTTTTAAAAATTCAAAGAACTCCACTTTAGGAATTTCAAAAAGAGAAGAGACAAAGGGGCAGAAAATATATTTGAAGAAATAATGGCTGAATACTTTCCTAATCTGGGGAAAGAAGCAGACACCCAGGAAGCAGAGAGAGCTCCAAACAAGACGAACCCAAAGAGGCCACAGCAAGACATGCTGTAATTAAAATAACAAAGGTTAAGAATAAAGATACATTTTGAAGGCAACAAGATGGAACTGAGTCACACACGAGGGAAACCCCATAAGGTTAGCAGCTGATTTCTCAGCAGAAACTTTACAGGCCAGAAAGAACTGGCAGAAATCCTTAAGGTGTTGAAAGACAGGAACATGTAATCTACCAGCAAGCTTATCATTCAGAATTGAAGGAGAGATCCAGAGTTTCCCAGACAAACAAACACTAAGGAGTCGACCCACCATACCGAACTAGCTCTATAAGAAATGTTAAAAGTTTCTTCTTTATGCCAAAAAGATCATAACCATAAATGAGAAAATTCCAGAAAGAAAAAATGTCACCATAAAGCAAATATATAATGAACACAGTGAGTCAACCACTTAAAAACTATTATGAAAGTTAAAAGGCAAAAGTAGCAAAATTAACTATAACTACAAGTAGGGGATACATAAAACAAAAAGATATAAAACATCATATCAAGAACATAAAGCATTACGGGGAGCTAAGATGTAGCGCTTTAACAATGCGTTTGAACTTAACTTACAGTAGACTACTATAGATATACCAGATGGATGTGTGTGTACATATACATATACACATACATATATATCCACAAACCAAAAACCTTCAAAAAAATACACAAAAGAGAAGGGAACCCTAACAAAATGCTGAAGAAAACCAGCGAATCTAAAGGAAAGTGATAAAGAGAAGAAAGCAACAGAGAAGAACAAAAACAACCACAAGAAAATTAATAAAGCAAATAACCTACAAATAAATGAAAATGGACTAAATGTTCCAATCAGAAGACATAGGTTGGACTCCCAGTCAAGATGGTGGAGGATGTAAAATCTGCTTGCCTCTTCCCATGTTGGTATGCTTGATGTTGTCCCAGAGGTCCCTTAAACTCTTCTCATTTTTTAAAATTCTTTATTTTGCTCTTTCATTTGTTTTTTTTTTCTGCTATTTTGTCTTCCAGAGCAGTGATGTAGTCTTCTGCTTTAGCTGCTGTTGATTTCCTCTGATGTACTCTCCAT